TTTTTGAAACTTCCGCCACCGCCTTGTGCGGTACTACTGGTAATCCATTACAATCCATTATTAACCATGATTATTTGACGGTTAATCCAACCCATATATCCATTATTAACATCATCCAACCATATAGGATACCCTCTGAATTTAACATGGCTATTGAAAATGGCCCAGTCGAAATAGTGGATTTTCCCATTAATAGCATGGTGATTTTCCATAGCTATGGGACAGTTTACCAGAGGGTATTCCCAACAAATTTGGCCCATAGAAATAGTTGATTTACCTATGAAAAATGGTGATTTTCCAGTTCGCAAACTGTTAGTGTCATCCAACCCATGGCATCCATGGCATCCCGCCTGACACATTGGGTGCGCACTGGGCTACGTCGCAGGGCCGAGATCTGCTTAGGCTCCAGGTGTTTCAACAGCAGCTGGGAGCTGCAGATCCGCGTCAGCGCAGCGTGCTGAGCCGGGGATGAAAATCTTGGGAAAATGTTGGGAAAACCCATGGAACCTGGGAAAATGTTGGGAAACATCTATGGAAAATGGTGGCTTTACAATGGTTTACAGTTTTATCATGAAGAAATCAGGAGTAAATGGGAAAACATGGTGGGAAAATCGATGGGTATCCATGGATACAAGAGGTCAAACATGTTCAACCCCATTGCACAATCATGATATCTCCATTTTAGTTCACGAACATTGCCATGAGAAGCTTCAGTTGACGAGAGCACATTTGCCCAACCATATTTCAACTCATCTTCGTTCCGGTTTTCGGATCTTCAGGTGTCACGCAGTGAATCAAGAAACATCAAGAAACACTAAGACTAGGAAACACAATCTCCAAAGTGACATTTTGCCAACTTATATCATTGGGAAATGCTGAGCCAAACAAAAAATGGGTGAAGCCATCTGGCCTTTGGATCTCCTCTGGCAGCTAAGAGGATGAAGCCATCTGGCTCAGTACCACCTGAAACACACCTGCCATGGGAGAAAAACAACCGCATCCTGGGTCGTTTTTAAGGTGGTAGGTCTCATTCTCCCCCCAAACAAAAGTTCATCATCTTCCTGACTCCATCTACGCAGTTTGTAGATCCAAATGACGCATTGAGCACCGGACGCAGGGACATCTCTATGTAAACCTCAGATTCATGCAGATTCAGGTGCCAATTGCGGGCAGCTTCATTTCTGGTTGAAACCTCTTTGAAAGTCTGCAGTGTCACTGACAGTAGTTGGTTTGAGGGAACATCTACAGAAGAAACACATGGATTTTACCTTCTTTTACCCTCCAGTAAATTAACATAGACCCTGAAAATCACCAATTTTCAATGGAAACTAGTCTTCCAACCCCTATCTGCCAGGGTCTATGTTAATTTGCCAGAGGGTACATGATTGAACCATGGTTTTTCTATGAGTTTCCCATCAATTGCAGGTGGTTCCTGGATTTTTCTGAGATGCGGACCCAAGTTGATGTGTGGCTGGTTGATGCCTCCCAAACCTGCCGACATGTGCCTGTATCTCAGCCAAGCAGCTCCACTCAAATCCCATTGACGAAACTCTGTATGGGTGGCTACAATTGATCCAGTCAAACTATGGTCATGTGTGATTTAACTATTTAATCATATTTAATCTGTAGTTTGAATATTGAGCGCACCTGGTTTTGGAGACAGGTCGCGGATCAAGCCTCCCCTGGCGTTGTCGGAATAGAACCTCAAGGTATCAACAGTACAATGTGAGGCCCCCAAGATATCTAAGTTGGTTTATAGCTCCCAATAACTATGGTTTATGGTACTTATAACTATAGTTACTGGTGCTTTTGTTAACCAACGTTCACATCACTGGGGGGCCTCACATTGTATCAACTCACTTTGACACCCCAAAAAACACCAGGTCGACCTGGTGGTCTCAAGATGTTTCAAGCCACCACTGGGATCATGGCCCTAGCATTCCGTAGGGAATGCCCAAAGACCTTGCCAGGCCCAGCAGCCAAGCCTTCATGACAGTGTCTGCTGAACAACACTTTGAACCTGAAACATTCATGAATCATCCATGGATCATCCAGGAATCATGAAAATTCATGAATCATTCATGATTTTCATCAGAAATATCTTTATGATATCTTTATTTTCGTGACTTTTTTCCCTTTTCACCTTAAGCTCCTTTTCCAGCCATGTTGACCCAACCCACAATGAGATGTTGCACCTGCCTCGCTGACAGGCAGCCGGAAATCCCCGGGCAACGCCGGTGTTGGTGGAATCTCGTCGTCCAGAGGCAGGCCCGAAATCCAAATGGCCGGTGCTGCACCGTTCGCATCGACGAAAAAACGAAGGAGTTCCGAAAGCGCCTGGACGCAGCGCAGAGATTTTGCATAGAGATGATATATCCAAGCCACAATGTGTGTGAGGATGACCCTAGATTAACCTAACAATTTGCCCAAATCAATGATTTTGAAAAACCAACAAACTGGAAATCAGCCAAATTTGGGGGGATGCCCCTTTACTCACCACCCATTCATGGCAAGCTTATGTGGCCACATCGTCGCCTCTTCTGGGAGCCACTTCACTACCAATTTGAAGCTCCGAGCCACAGCTTTCCTGTGGCTTTCTGAGAAAACATTGGAGAATCCGGGAGAAAATCCATTGCCAACATTGATACAGGACACATCATTTTTGGATTTCTATTATTAATAATGGAAAAATCATCCGAAAAATCATCCGAAAAATCATCCGAAAAATCCTGGATGATTTTTAGGACACCCTGAAGATCTGAAGTAAGGCTGGCGCTCTGTGCTCAGTGGATCTTTCAAAGCATTCCACAGAAAGTCCTACAGCAACGCCGTGAGATCTTTGCTGATCTGATAGAAAGAAGCGGTGCTTCACGCAGTGAAAATGCCCAGTGAAGCAATGCAGCATTGCTCACAAGCCGCAGGACCTTCTCATTTTTGAAGACCTGGAAGAAATCCTGACCATGGATCGCCAATCCATGCAGAAATTGGAAACATGTAGCATTACAAGGACTGAGTCACCGTAAGCCTCTTTGAAGCCCATGAGTTCTTTCTCGTCGAGCCTTCAAATGGCAAGGAAGAATCCTACCATCGCCTGTTCTTGTTTAGAATCGGAAACACATGGAACCCGACCTTGATTTTGAAGTTTTGATCCAGAAAATGGACTTGATTCTGGAGCTTTGATCCAGAAAATGGATGAAAATGGAAGTTTAACTCTTTAAGCATCAAACAGAGATTTTTAGAATGGGCTTTAGGATGCTTTAGGCAGAGAAACCTAGATTTCATGTATACCATCCATCGCCACATCAAAGCACCTGATTCGTCGCACGTTCTGCAAGCAGTTTCTCCGCGTGCATCTTCTCTTTCCCACCTGCCGACTACTGAAATATCCCAATATGTCTCAATGATGACAGCATGTCATGGGCGAACCGCAATGATTCCAAACCCTCATCCTCCAGAAAACAACAACAACATACAACAACATCAACAACAACCAACAACCAACAACAACAAACAACATACAACATACAACATACAACAACATCAACAACTATATATACATATATATAGCAGGCTCCAGTGACCAAAGAACATTGCCAAGCCTTCGCGATGTGGGAAAGCCTCAGTAGACTGGCAGCGCAGCTTGTGGCAACGAAGCTGCGACCGGTCGCATCTCTTCTGCTGGCCTGGCAGATGTCGAATGGAAGAGCCTTGGAAGCCAACCAGAATCAAAGTTGGTTCCATGGATAGTCCAAGTTATCCCAAGTTCTAGTCATTTTCACCATTTTCATCATTTTTCATGGGGAATCTTCTGACATTTGGTGTAGCCTCCATGTTTCAACATGCCACTGCTGGATACGAAACCAGTGGTGCCCCACCTGAGGCGGCCGTGCGCGCAGTGCTTTGCCACACGCCGGATGGCATCCTGGAGGGGGAAAACAGATGGAGCACCCGGCGGGTCACACCTGTGGCCAGAAAGGAGCCAATGCCATGGCAAAATCCCAACTTCTTGTGACTGAGTTGATGTGAGTTGTAGTGACTAGTGGGGATGCCCTGAAATGGGATGAGGGATGGGTGAGGAGTTGCAGTGACTGATGATGTGCTATGCATTGTGACAAGAAACTGAGCTCTTTCTTCGTTTTTAGCAACTCGACATTTCACAGGTTAAGAGACATGATCTTGCTGACACATGACTTGTCGTCTACGTCCACCGACTTTGCAGTGGATTGGCCGTAACAAATGGCTGCAAGATGTTGCAACAAATCATCCGCGGTCTTGAATAGCTGGACACATCGCAATCATCAACTTTGATCAAATGGAGAGAAATGGCTTTGGTTAAAGCTGAACAGAAGTGGCTTATCTATAGTTGGATAGTAATCCACATCAACTACAGGTGTCTACACTACATGTCACCGGAGGCTGACCTTCTCTCCATTTGAGGATACCAAGAAGTGTTCAACATCGATCCTCGAACTCGGAGATGAGGTTTTGTTGGGCTTTGATCAAAGACGCCTCCCAACGGAGTCACTGCCAAAAAGGACACCAACTACAGAACTTTATCACCAACTACAAAGTACCATGTCTGGTTGGTGGTTGAGCCCTACCCCTCTGAAAAATGATGGAGTTCGTCAGTTGGGGCTACTATTCCCAATATATAGAAATATAAAACATGTTCCAAACCACCAACCAGATGTGTAATGCTTTCCATGGCCAATCATAAAACTGTCAGTTTTATCGTATCCATCGCCAGGTCACGCTACATCGGAGAATTTTTATGGCACCTCAACACCCTGCGCCATTGCATATTCGCAAGCTCTGCGGAAGAGGTACTCGGTCTGATACCTGAAAACTCGGCAAATACTCACTTGGATGGATCTGAAAATGGAGAAATACCGGGCATACAGTCGGTATACATCCAAAAAATTGCTGCTTTTCAATGGGAAAAACAAGCCGATAAGCATTGATAAACCATCAAATGTGTTGTTTTTTCCAACATTTTCGAAAAAAAAAAACACTTAGGGTTGCAGTTCTTGACACTTCTAATGCCAATCATCAGAATCTGTGCTTGCTGTCATTGAGTGGCACACCACATCCCCCTGATGGTGCTGTCCGTGGTGTCGTTCAAGGAATCAAAGTCGGGGATCTTCTTGGCTCCCTGGAGACCAGCATCCAGCGACAGACAGGGAGTCACATAGTGTATGGAGATGACATATATCATTCACTAAAACTTAAGTTATATGATTAATATGGTCATCACTTTGAAATTTCAATGAATTTTTTTCCGGGATCCCCACATTTAAACATTCTTAACTTCAATTATGGCCATCATTTAATGGTTTAATGATGTTTAAATGTGGGGATCATGTCTAGATTCATCCAATACGTGAGAATCACCCCAATCCTCTGAATCGGTGCTGATGGTGTCCACAATGGATGCATAGGTCTTGTTGGCCAATAGCATCTGCTGACGGATCAAACCGTACCTCTTCAGCGCGGCGAAATCATATGGAGGTTTATGGAGGTGAAACCTAAGTCATGGGGGGTACCCTAAATCATCCATTTTAGATTGGGATTTTCCATGAAATCAACCAACCATTTGGGGGGATTCCCCATTTATGGAAACCCCCCAGAAAAATGTGCAGCGGGGTCGGAAATATGTGCTGTATATCCCAAAAATCTCCATGACAGAAGCTGATTCTTTCACGCCTGCCTCCTGGATCTCCTGATCTCAGAATCAAAAAATTACCTGAAACATCCTGAAACTATGTTCTGCACACTGTGCATCTCAGATCGCCATTGCGTTGAGGAGATTCATACCACTCTTGGAAATGAGTTTTGCACATGAAGTGCTGACCGCCGCAAGTGGCCACTTTCACTGGTATTTTGACCTCACTTCCTTCACTAAGGCACCAATTGCACTGCCGGTCTTCGTAGGAAGGGATGGTTGACTCCATGCTCTCATGCAAAGCCATCAATTGCTCCACTTGGCGTGTGAACTCGGGGCTTGGCATCTCACGAATAGCCTCCATCATGCTCTGAATCTCCCTGGCCTTTCTTGCAGCATCCTCCGTAACCTTTCGATAAGTTCCACGGGACAGAGCCAAGTTGCAAAGGAAGACCAGCACGCCTCCAAGGACCAAGCCGCCCACAAGACCCACCGCAACATTTGCGGCGACGCCCATTGCAGGCACAAAACCCAGGCTCAGGCTCGACAAAAGGTGGATTCCCGACTCGGTATCCCAACTGCCCCTGCCAAAACACCGGCCGAAATTCCTGTCATAGCGATTGCCGTTTTCGGATTGGCAGCGATCCACTTTTGCACCTCGTAGATCTGTTGCGAGAACCATGAGTTCTCAAGGCCCAGAATCTTGTAAATGTTGATCTCGATTCTGTTGAGGTACTGTGTCATCACGCGATACTCTGCGCAAAGTGCATTTTTCTCCGGCCCGCAACTCAGGTCCTCATACTCCTCGTCCATGCCCGCATCTCGGAGGAGGAACATTTTTTTCAGACCCTTGAAACAGGCCATGCAACCTGTGATGTACTCATTTTTGTTCTGGAGATCATTCTCCACATCGATCTGTTCATTTGGTGGTGATTGATCCAGAGTCTTCTTTTCTTTAGACAGGAACTGCATTGCTACGTCGAAGCTGTCGAGCTGCCGCCTGAATGTCACCTTCTCATTGGACGAAAACATGTCTATTTCTCTCAGGGCGGTTGATCTTCCTCGGAGTTTGAGCCAATTGCCTCGAGCCAATTGGACTCATTCAGATCATATATCTATATATGGATATTGTCATATAGATATATATTGTTATATATATATATATCACATGATCCAGTCCAGATCCCACGGATTTTCCCATGGATTTTCCAACATTTCCCATCCCACAAATCACGCGCCTCTGGATGCGTTGAATGGCATCCGAGTAGAGACGTTCAAAAACGCCTTTCAGCACTGGTGGAGCCCGCGGTATTCCAGCTGTGAAAGATGGATCCATGATGTCCTGCACAAAAACAGCTGAGACAGCTGAGATCTGACAGGTCATTTTTCAGCGATTTAAGGTATAGTATGGTATACCCTCTGGTAAACTGTCCCATAACTATGGGAAATCACCATTTTCAATGGGTAAATCCACTATTTCTATGGCCATTTTCAATAGCTATTTTGACATAACCAGAGGGTAGGTACTAGTCTAACTAGATCTAACTAGTCTAAGTCGATGACAAATCTGTCAACGATCATATGCGAGCCCCAACAGTCGTACCATGAACATAATTTTCGACATCAAATGACATGCTCAAATCCCCTTGAAATCCCATTCAAATCCTATGTGTTTTAAGATCTTTAACAACCAACTAGCAGGGATTTAGAATCCCATTGAGGAACAACAAGTGATAGGTAAATCCCACTAGATCCCATCAAAATCCTAATTTGTAGTCCCATTCACCTGGGGTTTCCGACACTTTCAATGGCTAAGACGGCTCCTTCAAACCGACCTTCTCCATGATGTTATCCACAGAGGAAGCAACACCGGGTCCCGCATCCATCGATACGACCTTCAGATGTGTCCATGGTTCATCAACAACAATTCATGGCGACATCATGGGAATGAATGAGTATGACGTATATATTTGATGGGTATCGGTATATATTATGACATTTAAGTATATATACATATATATAGTATGACATACTATATGACTAATATAGTTGATGGGAGATGTGGCTGCAATTGGCTGAGATTTATGATCTTTTGTGATGTTTGTTGAAATTTGGCTCAATCATCCCAACTAAAATCAGCCTTGCAAGCTCAGCTTGGCACCCGGATGTTCTCCAATCGCTTTCTCAGTTCATCAATCGTCAGAAGTAATCTGGAGATCTCTTCCTGGCCGTCTATGCAAAACCACATCATGAATAGCTGAAGACCATCATCATCATCATCATCATCATCATCATCATCATCATCACCAACCATCCATTGAGGGATTGATCATAAAAAAAAAATAGAATTTTGGGTCAGGAATCGATCATATTTCATCCATGAATCCACGAAAATGTCCATCCATTTTGCCAAAGTCTTGCATGCTTCCAGCCTGCTGTCTCTGGGTTACCTGCTTCAAATGCGAGATTTCTTTCGGATCTCCTGTCGAGCTGTTGGGGTTCGCAGGGTTTTTGTAGGCCATTCTACCTCTCGAACAAAGCAGGACATTGGCGTAAATCCCTATAATCCCAGTATTTTGGAGAGCTGATGGATTCAAACCAAGTGAAAATCCCTGTAATCCCAATGTCAGAGGTAGTGATGGAATCAAACATATCAAACCAAGTGAACACAACTCATGCTCCAAGTGAGTGCACTCCTTTGTAGACCACTTCCTTTGCTTTTTCTTTCGGTTCCGGTGTTGCTTCCTTAGCGCCAGAACTGCACCAGATGGGTGTGAAGTTGAAGTTGACTATCCGCAGTGACCTGTCCGACCTGTAGGAGTTGGTAGTCAGTTGGATGTCAAGACCGTTCTTTGGAACACACCAACTCAGCTATTTTCAGAAAATGATGCCATTTTTCAATGGCTATATACCCCCCCAATTTTCTGGCCTTGAGATTTTCAGCTAAAAAAAACCACCAAAACCAGCCGCGGCGCCCTTGGTTGTGGAGGCGTTGCGACCTTGCTGACCTCTGTCTTGGGAAAACTGGCTTCATATTTCTTCATGGCCTCACTGACCCAAACCTGTCACAGGGGATGTGGCACGCTGGGCTGCTGGGTGAGCTCCAAAAAAAAAAACAGGCTTTTGCTGAAGGCATCTGAAGGCGGCATCTAGTATCAGCTGAAATATCTGATCATTATTCATGATTCATATGTTCATATAATGTGTATTATAATGTACATATTAAATCCACAACATCATATGCATAAAACATATGAAATATACTAAATATGGCAGTGTGTCAAAACCAATAGTACCCCGTTTTGTTCACATCAAAATAGCTGGGATTTATGGATGTTCATCCCCCTAAAGCCATGGTATTTTCATAGGTATTGATCCATAGCCATATTTAGGGCCTCGAACTTGGGAGAAGAGTCCTTCATGAACTTGCCGACGTCAGATGCCACAGGATCTGTCGCGGCGGCAAATGCCTGGCATAAAAATGCCACCCGAATTTGGGAATGGCAAACCAATACAGCACCCAAAAACAAATGGTGTCGGGGATGGTGCAAAGGGCATTGTTTTAACCACAAAGATATCTCCAAAAATCCCAAGGATTGCTTTGACAATCTTTGATATGTGGGTGCGCTTTTTCTCTCAGCGTCTGTCGCTTGAAACGTCACCGGGTCTAGAGATGTCCGCGGAGACATCTAACCCCTAGCCGAAGCATCAGAGCTTTGCTGATAGCCAAGCCAATTGGAAGATGGTGGAACTAAATGGAACTAAATACGAAACTGGAGTGCCAAATGTAGGCAGCAACTATCATGATACATCATGATACTAAGATATAGGATAGATATAGTACATCATGAGGGCTACTGAACACTGAGTTCTTCGAGCCACTTTTGAAGCCCTTTTTTGAAATCGTCAATCTTAAGACAGTCTTTCTCTTTTTTTGTGGCTTCTCTTCCAGTGATTCGCATGGCTTTCTCTTTCTCCGCCACAAATAGGAGGTGGTCACACAGCCCTGCGTTGTACTGGGAAATCAGTGGTTTGGCACATGTTGTGCTTGTGCCGTTGGCTGTTTGAGGCCTGTTGACACATGAATTGTTTAGGAGAACTTCTAGTTCCAATGAAGATGGTAAATCCTGGTACTGATGACCTTTGGCCTTCTCGATGCATATTTCTGCCAGCTCACTTGGCTTGTAATCTGCCAACTGGATCAATTGATAAAATCGCCGGGGCAAACCATCGTTCACGCCCAAGAGTTCTTTCATTTCCTGGGGGTATCCGGCTAGAATCAAGATAAAGTCATTGGTCGCATTCAATCTCAACATGATTTCTTCAACAGCATCTTTGGAATCTCTGAGTCGATATGCTTCATCCACAAATAAGATACCACCCTTGGCTTGTTGCATCTGTTTCTCCACGTTCTGCGCTGTTTCCTTGGTATTTTGCCCAACCAAGTCACCCCGTTGGGCTTCGACAACATGGCCCTTCTGCACCAAGCCAAACTGTTTGAACATCTTCCCCACAATCTTGGCCACTGTGGTCTTTCCAGTTCCAGGATTCCCAACAAAGACTGTGTGCATTGGAGTCATGGGGATTGAAGAATGTTGTTCACGTCTTTCCTTTAGGTCTTCGGCCCAAGTAAAAATCTCCAGCAAGGTCTTCTTCAATTCATCTCTGCCCACGAACAAATCCCTCAAATGTCTCTTGAACTCAGCCTGGTTTTTCCATTCGAAGTCCTCGAAGTCCGAACTTTGCGGACGTCCTCCTCGCAACCTCGGCCAACCTCCGAAGGCATCACTGGAATCCAGGAAGCTGCGCCCCGTTGGAGCGAAACGAGCCACAGCAAGCAGCACAGCTGCCAGCACTCCGGAAGATCGTGGCATCCTTTCCGTCTTGAGCCCCAGCCCGGCATAGTGATTTTGGGTGAGGAATTACTGTGGTTCTTGTTCTGACTTCGGAAAATCACCTTCCAGCATGTGGAAAAAAAAGTGACACGGAATTTCACACAAAATATATCCGACAAATTGTCCAACAAAATTTCTAGCGGAAGATCCTCCACTGATTTGTCCATGGAGTTTCCCAATTAATCCCGGCCACTGGGTCAATCCAAACTCGGCATCGTGGGCCCGGCCTGGAAGAATTTCAGCTCTTCTTTCGGGATCTGGGCCGCTGGAGATGTACATTTTTGGCCGCGGAACGTCCATGTGAGATTGAACATCTACAGGATTTTACCCCCATCCTAAAAAGGGTTCAAAAACCCTGTAAAAACCTATGGTTTCCTGATGGTTTCCTATAGATGCTCCCTGAAAATCAAGAAATCCATCCGAAAGAGCACCTTATGAGTCGTGATGGTAGCCACTTTGGTGATGCTTCGAAGAGCTAGCTCCGCAGTGTTCCTGGCGAAAGGGGTGAAACTTGATGAACATGCGACTAAGATGACATTGTAATTGCATTCATTGAAAATCATTGCGTCATCCATTTATTTAATCCAAAAATTGGCTGCAGCTCATAGATAATATATATAATATTTGGTCAAACGTGGTGAATTATATGCAAATCCAATATGGTTCATGAATTTTCCGCATATTTGGTATTTTTTTGAACACATCTTGATGGTTGCGAAAAACAGAGAGGGCCTTGCGGCCTGCATCCACTCAGCAGCCTTCAATTTCATCTCCTGCAGGAAACGTGCTAGGGAACCATGTAAAGGCAGTAATGTTAGTAAAACAATAATAAATCATCCCCACAATTACCATACATGGGTGGTATATTATATATATAATATATATATATTATACTATAAACCATGAACTTATATGAGTGGTCTATTGTTGCCGAACATTATAGAGAGGGCTCCTGTGAAATGGTACCATCAGTATCCTTCAAGCAATTTCCGGGATGATCCTCAACCAGTTCCTATATCATGTCAGCATATGATGCATGTGGGTCAAAATAAACATGGGACATTATGGGTTATTGATGCTTATTCTATGTTATCATCATCCATCTCATATTGGGAATCCTGAAACATATGGATATATGGATAGATAAATTACAATAATTCACTAACCTGAATTAAGGTCATTTGGGGATGATTCCCCTATAAAAACCATGATTTCCAGGGCTCGGTCGCAGTGAGGTCGTGATGAAATTCACCCAGATATATGGATAGATAACCTATCATGGCATGTTTTTTAAGGTTGAACAAGTTGAAGATCCATGCGCTCCTCGGCCAGGCGTTCGAAATGCTTGGCTGCTTTCCGTGCTTCATCCAGAGCCTTAGAGACTGGGCTTGGAAGGATCCAACTTCCGCGGGTTGAAAGCTGAGGCGTGCCACTACTGCGGTGAAACTATATGGAAAACTCATGAAAACTCAGCCCAGTATGGCCCAGTAAATTCCATGTTGATCCATTTTCTTCTCAGGTCTTCTCAGATTTCTCAGGTCAAATCAGCCTCAATTGAAGCCAAAATAAGCCAAATCTTGAAAATTTCAGCACAGCGGAAGTCTCAACGGCCCGGTCTTCAGGCGGTTGAAGGTCCGACTCAATAATCCCAGGCCTGTGACGATGATGGCGATCACTTGGGACTACCCATGGGTTCTTAAGTCATGGGACTACCCCCAAATCATCCATTTTAGATTGGGATGTTTTGTTCACCATCCATTTTGGAGGTACCTCTATCTCAGGAAACCGAAAAATCCATTGATGCAAATCCAACGTCACTTGAAGGATCCACTTCGGCGCTTAGTAAGGACATGTTCTAAGCACCGCAGCGTGTCAAACACTTTCCATCGTTTAACCATCTGAGTCGTGGAAACAACATGCCGATAAGGGTTGAAAGATATCGGTCAATCTAGGTGAACAATGGTGAACGCATTGGAAGAAGAGTAGTCCTGGCATGACGGGAGTGAATTCCTCTTTCATCCCGCCATCGCAGTGCCTTCCCAAAGCGATAGGCCTCATGTCACAACTTGTGGCAGCTGCGGAATTCCACTTCTATTGTGGTAAACCTAACAATAGAACTACCGTTTTGGGATAGCATTTACAACCCAGTATTCTGGGATATTCTGGTATACCTGGTATCACCATCTTGCTGGAAATATTATTGGTACTATTTCCATACATCCATATAACATCATATAACTTACAAAAATTATATTGACAAAATTCCCAATCACAACACTTACCAAAAATATCATAAACCATGACTTGCCCAATTTCCAATGATACTACCTAAAAGTTACGGTTTATCAATGGCTTTACCACAGAAAATCGTGACTGATTTTTCCAGCCCTGCCAAGCGAAAACGTCTTAGGAGGTGGCCATCAGGTTCCAGCGATGCTCTTCTTGCTCAAGTGCTTGATGCATCGCCAGGACCTTTCCACAATGGACATCTGTGGTGGCACTGTGTGGATGACATTGGAGTCAATATGTTTGTCAATCATCATTTATCTCATGATATCTCATGATATCAATATCTTTTATGTATGGTTTTTTGACTATCAAACATCATATCTCATGATATCTCCATATATTTGATAGTCAAAAACCAAAAAAAAAGGCCCACATAATGCCCCCATAACTGATGCTTATTGATCCGACAAAAGTATGATGTTTTATTTTTCGCCCTGTTTCTAGTATATTGGGCTGCTGCGATGCAGCCATGCATATTTTGCCGAACAACATTTATTGAGGAACGATAACATGTTGGCAAACTATACTGATATGTGTATATATATATATATGTATATACATATACCCTCTGGTAAACTAACATAGCCATGGAAAACCACCATGTTTAATGGGAAAACTCACTATAAATGGTCATTTTCAATAGCTATGTTAAATTACCAGAGGGTATATATGAATGGGTGCATGAACAACTTCTGGCCCACTGGGGCCCTATGTCAACTTGCTGAGTTGGTCATGCAAGTCAAGGCTGGTCGTGGAGAGTTTCTGACAGCAATTTCGAAATTTCATGCTGCTGAAAGGCAATTGCAATTGATATGTATGTTCACAATGCCCTCTGCGCGGAGAGGATGAAAACTTAATCGCTATCTCCTTGCATGGGGAACTCCCATATTTCCGTGGCTAGTGTTGGGACGAATCATCCCCTGATGCTTACAAAAGCTATCGTCATGCATCAGAGAAAAGTGCACACTTGAAAAGACCCAAGATGATGAACATGCATCGATTAATCTTTGGTCAGTGTAGGACTGTAAAAAGGAGTATGCGCAACTTGTATGTAGCTAGTTCAAAAACAGAGATGTGAGTGTGGGGCATTGGCGACCAAAAATGTCGGAAGAAAACGATGAACTTGAGAAAGGTTATGAATCCCCAAACTACTGACAGGCACGATGCCAAGCAACCATTCGCTATGTGACATCATGCTCTACGATTTCAGAAAACGCAACCGAAATAATCAACTGAAGTAATGAACATAACCAATCAAGTATCAACACTCATCAGTCGTCGATCATGAATCATCACCAATCATCCACCAACACTACTGCAGCGCTGGGCCTCCTCTGGCAGGGTCGATTGTGCCGCGACTTCTTTCTGTTGCTCGATGTCCTGTTCAACGAACTGATCATGGCGGGTCTTTTTGTTGTCCAAAGGAAAAGCACCGATCTTTACTTATCTCTATGATGATAAGTATAGATAAAGTAATATATATATATATATGTGTATGTATGTAATATCTATCTATCTATCTATCTATCTATCTATTTATCTAATTAATCTATCTATCTTTCTAATCTAATCTATATAATCTAATCTAATATAATCTAATATAATCTAATCTAATCTAATCTACCTATCTATCCATCTTTAAGTCTATACATGTAGTTCTATGACCACATGCATATATATATAATATATATATGTACATACATGCATGTATATTTAGAAATATACATTGTGGAGATTTGGAAAATCCTTGATTGGGTCAGATTTTGTGAACGTGCCCTGCTACATAAGCACCCAAGTCATAGATATACTACACATGTGAGCCATGAAAAAAATACCCAATAGGCCGCCTGAAGGCCAGATGGTTGCTGGACCACCTGACACTGGCGGAGCCGAAGCCGGGCGCCGGCAAAACAAGGTGTGGAGCATCCTACTGGCAATACTAAATGGAAAATACAGAGGAAATATCGATTAACCATAAATATCACATGATTTACCAGTAGTATGCTTGAAGGCGAAAATAAACTAATCATCAGACATCAATTCTCATCATCATCATCATCATCATCACCATCACCACCATCACCATCACCATCACCATCATCACCATCATCATCATCATCACCAATCATCAACCACCAACACTACTGCAGCACTGGGCCTCCTCTGGCAGGGTCGATTGTGCCGCGACTTCTTCCTGTTGCTCGATGTCCTGTTCAACGAACTGATCATGGCGGGTCTTTTGTTTTCCGAAGGTACCTATCTATCTCTCTATCTATCTCTCTATCCATCTTTAAGTCTATACATGTAGTTCTATGACCACATGCATATATATATAATATATATATGTACATACATGCATGTATATTTAGAAATATACATTGTGGAGATTTGGAAAATCCTTGATTGGGTCAGATTTTGTGAACGTGCCCTGCTACATAAGCACCCAAGTCATAGATATACTACACATGTGAGCCATGAAAAAAATACCCAATAGGCCGCCTGAAGGCCAGATGGTTGCTGGACCACCTGACACTGGCGGAGCCGAAGCCGGGCGCCGGCAAAACAAGGTGTGGAGCATCCTACTGGCAATACTAAATGGAAAATACAGAGGAAATATCGATTAACCATAAATATCACATGATTTACCAGTAGTATGCTTGAAGGCGAAAATAAACTAATCATCAGACATCAATTCTCATCATCATCATCATCATCACCATCACCATCATCACCATCATCATCATCATCACCAATCATCAACCACCAACACTACTGCAGCACTGGGCCTCCTCTGGCAGGGTCGATTGTGCCGCGACTTCTTCCTGTTGCTCGATGTCCTGTTCAACGAACTGATCATGGCGGGTCTTTTGTTTTCCGAAGCAGTATCTATTTATACCTTTCAGATAGATACAGGTATACATATATATATATTACACTACATGACATTACATTACATTACATGACATTACATTACATTACACTCCATTACATTACATCACATACATTACATACATGGCTATCTATCTAATTGTCTAATTAATGTATCTATCGTTCTAATCTAATCTAATCTAAGCTAAGCTAAGCTAATCTATCTATCCATCCATCCATCCATCTTTAAGTCTACACTATGTAATTCTATGACCGCATGCTTATCTATCTATCCATCTTTAAGTCTATACATGTAATTCTATGACCACATGCATATATATATATGTATATTTAGAAATATACATTGTGGAGATTTGGAAAATCCTTGATTGGGTCAGATTTTGTGAACGTGCCCCGCTACATAAGCACCCAAGTCATAGATATACTACACATGTGAGCCATGAAAAAAATACCCAATAGGCCGCCTGAAGGCCAGATGGTTGCTGGACCACCTGACACTGGCGGAGCCGAAGCCGGGCGCCGGCAAAACAAGGTGTGGAGCATCCTACTGGCAATACAAATGGAAAATACAGAGGAAATATCGATTAACCATAAATATCACATGATTTACCAGTAGTATGCTTGAAGGCGAAAATAATCATCGTCAGACATCAATAGTTGGCTTTTTAAAACCCAACCATGAAGATGGAAATACAACCATCAATACCATCAAAAAACCCAAGTTACCCAAAAAATGGTAGTAAGAACCCAGATTAGAAATACAACCCAAGTGTCCCATTGGTGCCTCCTCTGCGTCCACCAAGCTGAAGCACATCCTTGGAACCAGGGAACCAGCAGACCCAATGACGTGGGTAAACCTGAAGCCATTACCTTTTTTTTTTTTTATGACCTACCAAAAAATCAGTGAAATATCTAATATATAGGACGGGATCAATACTGCAAATTACTTCCAAATGGGAAAACAACATTCATAGATGACTTTTTTCCATACTATACACCGATTTATATCCAAAATTAGTACTATCCATGATACACCAAGTACTATACCCTGGATATACCACGATTTTCCATACTATACACCAAGTATCTCCAATTCATATCCCATGCCCAACCATGCCCGACAGCCTCATGGCGGTACTTGCCACATGGGGCTCGTGGAGCATGGAGAAATGGTCTCCAGAGACCTTCAACACCTGGTTTTCAACCACCAAGTTGTCGGACCCGAAAAATCACAGGGAATCCTCAGGAGATATATTAGAGACATGACATGGATTTCATGATATAATATCCAGGATACCCTCTGGTAAATTAACATACTAATCTTCCAAGTCCTATTTGCCAGGGTCTATGTTAATTTACCAGAGGGTATCCTGGATAATTATCATGGAATCCTTGATATATGATATCAAATATATCAAAAATCAGGAATTCTTCAGGTTTTTGTGAGATGTAAGGTAGGTATCATGTGATATAATGGTATATGCTCCTCATTGTCCCATATCATATTATCAATGTTAAAAAAAAAACATGAAAACTGTCCCATGATCATGTCCCATAATCATTATCCACATAATATGGGACAATTTTCATTAGTTTATTAAAACATAATCATGGGACTTTTTTTTTGAATTACCCTCTGGTTATGTCAAAATAGCTATTGAAGCCATGACCCAGTCGAAATAGTGAACTTTCCCATGAAACATGGTGATTTTCCATAGTTTTTTGTTAGTTTACCAGAGGGTATTTCCAAGAAATGGCCCCAGTCGAAATAATTGATTTACCCATTCAAAAAATGGTGATTCCCAAGTGATTCCAATTGATGTTTGACGATTGTCCCATGAAAACTATGGATAAATTCTGCATCCGATGGGATCAGAGTGGAATGACCATCTCACTTACAATTTTTGGGAGATCTTATATGGGATGATGAAGCAAAATTGATATATATATATATTATTATATATATATATATTATTATATATATATTATATATATATATTATATATATTATATTATATATATTATATATATATATGCAAAAACACCTGGTAATTTCCACATGAAATGCTTCTAGATCATGGGGGAGGGAAATCCATACATATATATAATTGGGTAATAAGAAAACATCAAGTTGAAACTTTAAAAAAATGCTAATTAATATGGTTTTAAAACTGGGATACTGATTATGGTCTCAGCGCAAATGGGATAATGATTATGAGGATAGAATGGTTAGCGTCAATTATGGTCATATCATATTCATTCAATGTGCTCCTGTCTCTATTGAAATGTCTGAACATGTGCCAACTAGACTCAAATACGGCTTCGAAAATGATTGTTTGATACAGTTGGATACACAAAAGCCATACTATAAATGCATCCAACTGTTTGCCTCTCTTTTTGGTAAATCCTTCGTGAAGCGTCTCAGTTTGGGCCATAACAAATGGATATATGTGATGATATATGTCATGATATATGTCATGACATATGTGATGATATATGGTGATATATGATGATATATGATAATGTATGATGATAAACCCACTGAATTTCAGGCCTGCCAATTTGGAGACAAGCCCATTTCCAGCACGTGTCTGTTTCTTTGGCAATTCAGATCGATTTGTTTCGTCCAACATGTGTTAAAACAAACATTTGAAGCAAATCACATGTAATTAGTAAACCCCGGATTCATAAACCATGGTTTATTAGGAGGGTACTCCTCCAATAGTCATAATCCAATACTTAAATGGTACCCCCCAAATTCAACAGCCGTTTGGGGTTTATGAATCCAGGGTTGACATGCGTAAACCCAATAAATCCAATAACAAAACCCATTCCCCAAGCTATTTCACCTTCACCTTCATGGATTTTCCATCTCCATCGTACCCTCTGGTTATGTCAATTGTTTGCTATTGAAAATTGCCATAGTTGATTTACCCATTTCAAAAATGTGGTGATTTTCCATAGTTTTTTGTTAGTTTACCAGAGGGTATTCCCAACAAATGGCCCATAGAAATAGTTGATTTACCCATTCAAAAAATGGTGATTTTCCCATCGTTTTTTGTATACCAGAGGGTAAAGCACTGCGTTGATGACCTTGAAACTGCTCCAATTTCTCAAGCGCTCTGCAACTTTGGCATTGCGCTGGAAAACCTGTGCCTGGACGGGACTGGACGTCAGCGTTGCATCTGAAATGTTGGGAAAAAACATTCAAAAGAGTCACATGTGTGATTCTTTATTCTTGGTTTGTATAGCTGATCATTCTAGGACTATTGATTGCTGGCTGAAGAGTCATTAAAACAATCATCAACAAACAATCATCAATCTCCATAATCTCCCCATAAAAAGATCATTGGCTTGGAGACTTTTCCCGGCCGTTTCCCATGGCCGCTTCCACCTGCACACGGCGCACGATCTTCGCTGCCTCATTGGGCGCCTCGGGAAACGAGGCAGGAGAAAAACACGACTGGACTGGATCAAAGGTCTGACTGGATTGGTTACCCTCTGGTTATGACTAACATAGCTATGGAAAGATCCACCATGCTATTAATGGGAAAATCAACTATTTCTATGGCCATTTTCAATAGCTTTTTGTATGTTTACCGGAGGGTAAATGGGAAAATCTTCACCGGAAATCCATGGGTGTTTTTTACATTTTTTTACCATCAAACTTGATGGGGATGATGGGGTCTCCGGTTTCAACTTTCCATAACTTTCCCATCATCCAAGTCTGTGAAAAGACCATCATGTTGACCTACTCCAAATCTATGACATATATTGACACATTAGAAATCTTCCATAGATTTAGCATCTGTTTTGAACATTTTGGGATGACTTTAATCCCCAGCAGTAAACATACTTTGATGCTGTGAAGCGAAGTTTTGGCCCAAAGTCTTGGCCCAGTTCGCCAGTTCTGACAATGATTGCTATGAAAAGATTCAAAGACAATTCCAGAAAATAGGAAAAACGTTGCAGAATAATGACACGTATATGCCACAAACTTCTATGACATTCAGTTCTGCCTTGCTACACCCTTGATACCCTGAGGGAGCGAACATCATCAGGCTGAAGCCAGCCTTCCACAGCACATAGCCAATGGATCCTGACAAGGATCGTGCCATCGGAACGGTGCCAACCCATCCCAATCACATTCCTTGGGGATCACCCGGAGGCTTCCAATTTATTGGGCTACCCCCAATTTATGGATGGTCTATTTCATGGAAAATCACAGAAAATGCCATGGATTTTGGGGTACCCGGGTACCCCAAATCATAGGAAAACCATTAAAAAAAACCCTCCAAATATGATGTTGCCATGCTCCAGCAGTAGGAAAAATGCAGCATCATCAATGCCATGCTTCGACTTCAAGGCCTCGCTTGGATGCTGCTGATAGTATCACCTTGGCAGACGAAAGAGACTGGCATTTTCACCATGTCAAGTGTCATGGCAAAAACTTGATGACCTCTTTCAGGATAAGATTGTGATGTACAATTTTTTGTCGGGCAACGAAAGTACCCTCTGGTAAACAAACATAGCTATTGAAAATGGCCCAGTCGAAATAGTGGATTTTCCCATTAATAGCATGGTGATGTTTCCATAGTTTTTTTGTTAACGTTTACCAGAGGGTACCATTTTTTGTGGGCATTCACCTTGCCTGGAGTTTTGCTACGCACGGTGTCATAGTGTGATTTGTTAGGATGGATCTTAAAATGTGTCTGGAGGAAGCACTGAGGGTGCAAAAATGAAAGGTGTTTTTCCACGGTCAAAACCCAATTGGGTGTGGTAACAAATTGAGGTTTCTTGTTGGATTCAAATGTGGCTCAACCTTTATAAACTTATAAACCACCAAAAATCTGGGGTTTTAATGGTTAAATAACCTTTATTCAATCATCTTATTCAATCTCCAGCTATTTCGCTAGTGATATCACCAACAAAGTTTCAGGGGTCGTCATGCTGAGGCCACTGCTTTCAGACAGCAGTGTGGCATACCATCGGAAGGTCGCGTGCACATGTTCCAGGGTCGCCACCGCTGCTGCTCCTGCCGCGAATGCGGGAAGATGAAAACCACTGGTGAGAGCTATGGTGAGAAGATGTGGTAATATATGATAGTTGATAATGATGGATTATGTACATATGTATATAACATTGTAGAATATACAACATACATATATATATATATATATATTATTGTACATGTATACCATATATATATAATTATGTAATATATATATATAGATATTTAATATGCAGGTTTCCTGAAACATAGGTACCCCAATAGCTGGATGGCTTATGATGGAAAATCCCAATCTAAAATGGATGATTTGGGGGTACCCCCATGACTTAGGAAACCTCCAATATAAGTATAAGCATACAAAAAACTATGGAAAAACACCATTTTCACTGGGTAAATCCACTATTTCTATGGCAATTTTCAATAGCCATTTTGACATAACCAGAGGGTATTCAGAGTTCCAAGGGGAACATGACTTGTACGGCATCTGTTGCCTCGGTCATGGTCTGAGTGCCAGACCCAAGTTCTGAAACGCTTCAGCTTGCGCTGCAGCATCTTTCTTTGAAAGCTCCTACCATCGGCCAGTTCTGCATGTAAATTCACTATAATCAAAAAGTAACAAAAAAATCAAGGGTGAAATCTATTATTAGATCATATTAGATCTCTTCATTTTGGGGCTTCATATATTTTAGATCTCAAAAAAAATGACATTCTGGATTTCAAGGGGTATCAATGTATCACATAACAAGGATCACCATACATGTCACCAAGTTTTCTTCAAGTCGCTGTCCTCCACTAAGGAGGCATAATGAGCTCCATCCGCCACCGTTTGTGACAAAAGCGCCACTGTTTCCAACAGACCTGCTTGGAGAAACACTCCACCTGGCGCAGTTTTTCTGGCCATCAAACGGTGGGGTACCCTCTGTTAAACGTGGAACATTGTAACATCCCCTTGAAATGGAGCTAAAAAAAGCTGGGAAGTCATCATCGAACTAGAGGATTTTCCATCAAACCATGTTTCATTACCGGGGCAACATGATGACTTTTGGCAACTGGATTTGGAAAACTGTGATAAACCACCGGAAAATTTGATGCATCATGATGAGGCTTGAAATTTGGAGAAACCTTGACACACCCTCAAAGAAGCATTTGAGGTAATCTGCAATTTTCTCTCAAAGATCCATGTCATCTTCCAACGCTGGACCCATATTAAAGCCCTAAACACTGGATTTGAATCTCTACCTCCTGTTCATGTTCAGTATTCCGAAAAGATCAAAGATATCACTCAAATGCCATCAGGAATTTCATACAGAACTTCACCAAAAAACTGATGAATTTATTATAATGATTATACATGATTTGGATCAGAATATCTGTTTCACCAAAACAGATATATTTGAAATCACCAAATACTTCCCTTCCAAACTTCAAAAAACTAAAAACCAGAAATCAGATTTGCTGATTCCAGGGATTTCAGATTTGGATCCCATGGATCCTTTCCCCCCGAAATCGAAGCTCAGATTTCATCAGAATTTCCCGATCCATCGGATCCTGCATCTTCGACTGGCAGAAGACTTCTAGGATCCAGCAGAATCACTAGGGCGACCTCTCCTGCAGCCTGGTATTGGCAGCCCATGGCATCATCTCCATGGCGTTTCCCCAAGTCATAATGGGATATGTTAATAATGGGCATTTCATGGGATATATATGGGATATATATGATATTAAACATGACCCTTATGAAAACATATGAAAACTATAAAGTGGGTAAAACAATAACAATTAATAAACCATCCCCAGTCATCACCATGTTTCTAGGTGGTTTATGACAAAATTCCCACATGAGGCTGGTGCAATGGACATTGTTTTAACCCACATGAATAATCATATCCATAGTTCCTACAATTGTCAGGTATGTTCCATCATTTTCCCAAAAGGGTTTTCCCACCTCCCATTCTGTTCCCATCATTTTCCCATACGGGGGTTCCAAAAATGGGGGTACTCCCAAATCATCCATTTTAGATTGGGAGTTTCCATGAAATAAACCATCCAGCTATTGTTGGGGTAATGTGGTTAAAACAATGTCATAAACCACCCTACTTTGTGAATGATTTCAATCCCACCTATAAACATGGTGATGACTTGGGGATTGTTTATGGCATTATTTTACCCACATTACCACCATTTATGGGAAAATCATTAAAAAGATTGGGATTTTGCATGAGATAAACCATCCAGCTATTGGGGTTGCCCCATTGAATTTACCCTCTGGTAATCTAACATAAATATGGAAAATCACTATTTAGTTCGTGAATTTTCTCATGAAAAATGCTGATTTTTTATAGTTATTTGTATGTTTGATGTACTAGGTTGGAATTTTTCATAGTAATATTTTAGCTGATTTTCTGGCTGAACCATTCCATTTAGTTCGTGAATTGTCCCATTAAAAAGAGGGTATGGAAACCATGGAAATCAATGGGCATTTCAGGAACCAATTGATTGGAGGTACCTACCATATATAAGGCCTATTTTTCAGGCCTTAATTTCAGGGAATATCCCCACAAAATATGGCCAGAAATATGGTACTAACGTACCTCCATTTTAGGATCCTGAAATTCCCATTGTACAATAATATATATATATATTGTATATTCTACAATGTTATATACATATGTATAATTATATATATGGAAACCATGGAAATCCCATGGAAGTTTTGCCCTCGACGTTTCTTCAGCGCCTCCACCTGCCGTGCCATCTCCAAGCACAACGAGGCGCCGAAGGAATGCCCCGCCAAGTGGAACGGTCCCGAGGGAACAACCTGGCGAACCTGGCGAGGTCAAGTTGCGCAAAAATGTATGGCAATGTATGGGTTATTATGTATAATATATATATACACACATTATAGATAGATAATGATAGATATATCCTACTGATGATCACTATACTGTATGGGAAAAAAATGATTGAAATATCTCGAAATGTATAGAAATTGGATTGAAATATCTCGAAATATTTATGAAATTGAATCCGATAAAATGGATTAAAATGGAATATATATTGAAATATCTCAAAATATTTATGAAATTGAATCCCATTGAAGATACATGGTTGAATGCCATTGAAATACCATCTCCAGTTACTTCGCCTGAAACGCTGGAGAACTTCTGAACATTGGGCGGGCGAAGGGTCCGATGAAACCTCTTGCGGACTTTTCCGAATTCAACCCAAAAATGGATTTATGGGACACAGAGGTTATTCCCAACACCCCAGCTAAAATTACGGGAACATTGGTATGTAAGGAATTGTACAGATGTAGAACTGCCTATTTTCTCACCTATATGGGTTTGTCTGAAAATAGGGTATATTCCCAAACAAATAGCCATTTAAAAACGGGATTGTCTGATCAGCAAAACCATTGGGTACACAGGGGTACACAACATTTTCAGACACACCCATATTGACCTTGTGGCTATCCTTAAGCCATCGAACACCCAGCTGAAGTTGGCCTCTTCCAAGATGAGGCGGGCCAACTCAGTGAGTGTTCTCGGCCACCTGCTGGTTGGATCCATATCAATCAGTTGCTGAGGACCCAAAGATCTTTATGGCATGTTATGGCATGTTATGACTCTAAGAATCCAACTTAGAGCAAATTTAAGGGACATTTTATGGGACTAACATGCCCATAAGAGTAGATAAGAGTAGGTAAGTCAGGTTGTCATCAACCTTTGGTTATGACTCTAAGAGCAGCGGATTGGGACTCTAATCAAAGATAACCAAAGGTTGATGCCATCAGGACCAGCCAGCTTTTCAGGTTTGCAAAGCCATCCAGCAGATATATCCAGGAAAAAACAAGAGAAATCATCATCAATATTCATAAATCCAATTTAGTGATAATTATCATTAATTATCATTATTATACCATCATTATATATGATAATCATCCATAAATCCTTAAGTGATCAACCAACTCACCCTCTCCACCAGTGATCTGCCACCAGTGACAGCGCCACGTTTTTCGGCCCCGCTCAGCGTCGGTACGGTGTGTCCTCGGGCAGCGAAGGATCAAAGTCCGGCGGTTGGCCCTCCCGCAGTGATCGGAGGTAGAGGAGCAACACTGACACCGTGCCCCACAACAAACCAACGATCACGCCAGCCTGCAGCTGCTGCAGCAGTGTTTCAAGAAAAGGAACAAGATATTGATCAAGAAATGTATATTATATATATATCATGAATTATCATGATTAATGATTGTGAATAATCAATTATGTATATCATTATTCTGAATATTGCTATGAATTATCATTGTAAATAGATGTTTTAAGATTGTCTTTCAGGTCTGGTTTTCACCTCCCCATACCTCCCCTCCCTCCCAAAAAACAAAGATTTCTTCACCAAGTGGCATCAATGATAGCTCGGTACGGGTTCGCAAGGTGACGAACAGCTATGACCACGAAGAAGATCGTGATGGTCACTGCCCAACTGGTTGTAACCCGTGCACGAGTTCCATGAAAGTATCCAATACAGAAGGCCGGAGCAAATAATTTGTGCCATAAAGCTCTGGTGGCTCGTTCATCTTCAGGGCTGACCTGTTTCCCCATCAATTTCCCAAGTAGCTGAGTCAACAACAAGGTGGGTGGGAAACGGATCGGCGAGGCCGCCTTATGCAGAGCATAAGCCAACGCGGCGGCTCCATAGTACTTGCTCTGCGGTATCGAAATGCCAAGGTTGGACAAGAAGCCCTCAACATCCATGTCACGCTTCACAAGCTCGTAGAAGAGGGTGTAGGAACAAATTGAGAGTGTAATCGAAGAGAACAAATATGCAAAACCATATCTTTTCAGTAAGTTCTTTGGTGACAGGGTGAATGTTTCAGACACCACCCATGCACGACTTACTACTCGAGGACAAAAGCTCAGTTGAAAGCCTTTGTAGCCTTCCACATAAGCGAAGAAGCCCAACCTGGGAAGATCGACAAGTTGGGATGCTTGAGGTTAAGGCAAAAAAGACCCAATGAGGTTGTATCAACCACCTTATGATCTTGTCAAACAGATTAAGGTTGTTGGTATCACAACTATATATTGATTAAATGATATTAAATGATATTAAATGTATAGTTCAACTATATCTTGTGTGATCATACACCACTAAAAGCATGTTCTTGTTCACGAGCAACGTTCCCGCCAGAAGAATCCATTGAAAGGGCGATGTCATGGCAGACATGCCAGCCGTAACAATGGGCACCACTTTCTTCAGGCCGTAGGAGAGATATGCCGCAACCCCCAAGACCCCCCAGAGCTGCACGGGCCGCGAACGTTCGACGTGTTCGACGTCCACCGGAGCTGAGTCGGCATCATTTTCCGCCCTGAGGGGAACTGTGGGACCTGTACCCCTGAAGGCTGGTGGATGCACCTGCGATCCCGACCCAAAGCCATGGGTGCCATGGGGGTTTCGACAGAGCCATGGCCCGGCAAAGGCCGAGGCAGAGGCAGCCGAGGCAACGAAGAGCAAGCTAGCGGCACATCGACAAAACTGCCGCAACGCCGTTTGGGGTTTTCGACCCATGGCTCAAGGCAAGCCTTCTCGAGCCTATGCACAGCAGATCCTCACATTGCCAGTGCCCAGATCATGATCATGTCAACACAATGTCAACAACGGAAATGTCTGAGATGGTCATGAGATCCTCCTGCAAAAATATGAGATTTCCAGATCCATGCATCATCATGCATCAATCTTCCCATTGATGCTCTATCCGATGCTATCCATTCATCGCCCGCCACGTGCATGTCACGTGGAAGACTGCTGGGCCATGACACTCCATAGGCAGGCACCGGAAGAAACACCGCCAATGCTTGGAAACCAGCGGCCTGAACGAAGAAACCCCAGAAATGCACCACAAGTAGGGTGGAACATCGGAAATTTACTATTCTGGATGATAACTATCACATAATATCTTATATTATGTATATGTATATATATATTATTATTATTGTTTATTATTGTTTATTATTATTATTATTATTACTATTATTATTATTATTGTTAATTATTATCATTATTACTATACAACATGTGATAAAGCAAAATTCACTTGCTGTCTATGTCATCCATCCCTCAGTTCCCCTCCTGCAGTGCAGCACCGGGCACCAGGAAAATCGGCTGGCCACTGGTCCTCACTGGCGGTGCTCTAGAGTTCCAGAGTTAGTTAAGTTAGTTCAGAACTCCAACAACTAGGGTTTATTAAGGGTTACCCTCTGGTAAATTAACAGTTGGACCTTGAAGATCACCAATTTTTAGAGGAAACTAATCTTCCAACCCCTATATCTACCAGGGTCTATGTTGATGTACTGGAGGGTAAGTTATGTCTATAGTTCATGGGAAATCTCTGTAAATGGATGTTTTCATAGGGCAAAATCGGCGAACGGAGAGTATGGAAGAACCCAATGACTGTGACTCAAGAGAACCAGTACGATAATTCATCACTCTGGTTTTCACATGTCCATGTTTTGCCAGAAATGGGTTAGATAAACCATCCCCAATTTGAGGTTCAGGTTATGGATCTACTGAATATCCTGAATGTCATATGGATCATATGGTCCAATATCCCAACTATTCCCAACTATTCCAAATCCACCGGGCCTCTCGTTCAACAGCTCCAAAATCGACGTGGAAGTCGTCACTGTCGGCTGTGCCGCAGTGGTCGCAGCTTCAGGTTCTGGCGATCCAAACTGATCCGCGATGAAAGCTGCCAACGCGTTAGCCTGGCATGTGATGGCAAGGATTAAGCCCTAACTGTTGGCAGTCCTGGCATAGGAAATAGATGGAAATAGTGAAAAAACAAAAAATCCATGTCAAATGAATTCAAATGACAAATGTGAAAGGATGAACATGGAAAGAAAACACTGTTGGGCGTTGGCGTTCCCAAGGACTATCCCGGTCATGGAAGATCTTGGAAGGAAATTGAGCTTTGCCCAATATGGCTTTGAAACTCGAGCATTCATATACCCTCTGGTAATTTAACATAACTATGAAAAATCACAATTTTTCATGGGAAAATTCACTATAAATGGTGATTTTCAATAGCTATGTTAAATTACCAGAGGGTATAATCCACTGGTTTATCACAGAAAAAAATCCATCATTTTCCCTTCCGCAGATGGCGCATTTGAGGGGTATCATCTCAAGATTGAACGCCAAGAAGCTGTTGGGTAGTCAAAGACAGCCGAGTTCGGCAGACGCACCCCACCGAACCTGGGAGTGGTGTAGGGTTACCGCTGAAACCAATGGGAACATCTGGGTCTGAAAATGGGGGGAACCGGGTGTTAACACCGGGATACCCATCAATGGCCACTTGGAATATTCGGACTGTTATGATAAACCATGGGAGTTTGGGTCCGCAGGTTCCCTATTTTCAGACAAACCCAGGTGAACATATGGGGAACAGATGGAAAAGAAATGGAGAACCTGAGCCGGAAACTCCTGTTGCAAACGGTTTCTGAACTCCACTCCAGAGAGGGAATCCATTCCAGACCTTTGGCAAAGCGCACTGCCAGGCAGTGTCTGCAAGTCTTAATCTTCACAGATGTTCATCACAAATCCTGACACCAAAACGGTTTGGTGGTTTCAACCCATCCCAACTGCGAAAAATCAGAATAATCATGAATAATCCCAAATGATAAATGCCATGGGGACACAGCAAAAAAAACATCATGGTGCATCAAAACCACCAGGTGCAGAGGTGCCAGGTGTAACCTCTGGTAAACTAACATAACTATGGAAAATCGGCATTTTTAAATATTTTTAATGGGAAAACTCACTATCAATGGCCATTTTCAATAGCTATGTTAGTTTAACAGAGGGTAACCAACAATTTCTCAGTTCCAAACTCTAACAGGGGATCATCCCCAGCGAGTTCTTCGCCCACCACATCAACCGCCAGACGCTTCACTCGTTGCTGGATGGCTTCGAGACGTTCTGCCGCACCCATGGATGACAGGGCTGCAGCCAGTTCTCCTATGGAGCTTGGCCCATGCTGACTGTCACTGCCATTGCAACTGCGACCTTCTGAATCCTAAAACATCTTGAAACCAAATGTTCCCAGCTTGCTTAAAATACCGTCTTGACAACTCATATGGAAGCTCGAAAAGAAACATATTTGCAGCTATATTTGCTGAAATCAACTGATGATTTTTCACTTGAAAAGACCCTTTGTTTGAAGATCCCAGTGGTTTTTTGTGGCGCTGTCCTTCTCCTTTTCCTTCAGTGCTCTTCACAGCCTCCGCTTCCATGTCTTGCAGGAAGGACGGAGTGCCAGCCTGAAAAGAGTCAAACTGGTCTTGGAATGGTATCCAAAATTGTGTCAAGTAATTACTTTTCCATAATTGTCTCAATAATTGTCCAAATTATCCAAATGCTTGTGATCAAGGTCGGCAAGGTCTCCAAAAAGCTAAGCGAAGAAGAGCAACCAATTCAATTATATTCAATGTCCATGATCATGACTCTGGTTTCAATCCCACCTATAAACATGGTGATGACTGGGGGATGGTGAAAATTATTATTGTTTTACCCACTTTATAATTTTCATAAGGGTAATGTTATTTCCCATCAAATGCCCATATTAATCATCATTAATCAACATTAATCATCAAAAATCATCAAAAATCATCAAAAATCATCAAACATCATCCAAAATCATCAAAAATCATCAAACATCATCAAAAATCATCAAAAATCATCAAACATCATCAAACATCATCAAAAATCATCAAACATCATCAAAAATCATCAAAAATCATCAAAAATCATCAAAAATCATCAAACATCATCAAAAATCATCAAACATCATCAAACATCATCAAACATCATCAAAAATCATCAAAAATCATCAAACATCATCAAAAATCATCAAAAATCATCAAAAATCATCAAACATCATCAAACATCATCAAACATCATCAAAAATCATCAAAAATCATCAAAAATCATCAAACATCATCAAAAATCATCAAACATCATCAAAAATCATCAAACATCATCAAACATCATCAAAAATCATCAAACATCATCAAAAATCATCAAACATCATCAAACATCATCAAAAATCATCAAAAATCAAACATCATCCAAAATCATCAAACATCATCAAAAATCATCAAAATTCATCAAACATCTCAAACATCATCAAAATCATCAAACATCATCAACATCATCAAAAATCATCAAACATCAATCAAACATCATCAAACATCAATCATCAAAATCATCAAACATCATCAAACATCATCAACATCACAAACTCTCATCATAACATCATCAAAAAATTCATCAAACATCATCAACATCATCAAACATCATCAAAAATCATCAAAAATCTCAAACATCTCAAAAATCATCAACATCATCAAACATCATCAACATCATCAAAATCTCATCAAAAATCATCAAACATCATCATCAAACATATCAAAATCATCAAACATCATCAAACATCATCAAAAATCATCAAACATCATCAAAAATCATCAAACATCATCAAAAATCATCAAACATCATCAAAAATCATCAAGCATCATCAAGCATCATCAAACATCATCAAACATCACCAAAAATCATCAAACATCATCAAAAATCATCAAACATCATCAAACATCATCAAAAATCATCAAACATCATCAAACATCATCAAACATCATCAAACATCATCAAAAATCATCAAACATCATCAAACATCATCAAAATCATCAAAAATCATCAAACATCATCAAAAATCATCAAACATCATCAAACATCATCAAAAATCATCAAAAATCATCAAAAAATCATCAAAAAATCATCAAAAAATCATCAAACATCATCAAAAATCATCAAACATCATCAAAAATCATCAAACATCATCAAACATCATCAAAAATCATCAAACATCATCAAAAATCATCCAAAATCATCCAAAATCATCCAAAATCATCAAAAATCATCAAACATCATCAAACATCATCCAAAATCATCAAACATCATCAAAAATCATCAAACATCATCAAAAATCATCAAACATCATCAAAAATCATCAAACATCATCAAACATCATCAAACATCATCAAACATCATCCAAAATCATCAAACATCATCAAAAATCATCCAAAATCATCCAAAATCATCCAAAATCATCCAAAATCATCAAAAATCATCAAAAATCATCAAACATCATCCAAAATCATCAAAAATCATCAAAAATCATCAAACATCATCAAACATCATCAAACATCATCAAACATCATCAAACATCATCAAAAATCATCAAACATCATCAAACATCATCAAAAATCATCAAACATCATCAAAAGTCATCAAACATCATCAAACATCATCAAACATCATCAAAAATCATCAAAAATCATCAAAAATCATCAAAAGTCATCAAACATCATCAAAAATCATCAAAAATCATCAAACATCATCAAAAATCATCAAACATCATCAAAAATCATCAAACATCATCAAAAATCATCAAACATCATCAAACATCATCAAAATCATCAAACATCATCAAACATCATCAAACATCATCATCAAAAATCATCAAACATCATCAAACATCATCAAACATCATCAAACATCATCAAACATCATCAAACATCATCAAACATCATCAAACATCATCAAACATCATCAAACATCATCAAACATCATCAAAAATCATCAAACATCATCAAACATCATCAAAAATCATCAAACATCATCAAAAATCATCAAACATCATCAAACATCATCAAAAATCATCAAATCATCAAACATCATCAAAAATCATCAAAATCATCAAACATCATCAAAATCATCAAAAATCATCAAAAATCATCAAACATCATCAAACATCATCAAATCATCAAACATCATCAAACATCATCAAACATCATCAAAAATCATCAAACATCATCAAAAATCATCAAACATCATCAAAAATCATCAAACATCATCAAAAATCATCAAGCATCATCAAGCATCATCAAACATCATCAAACATCACCAAAAATCATCAAACATCATCAAAAATCATCAAACATCATCAAACATCATCAAAAATCATCAAACATCATCAAACATCATCAAACATCATCAAACATCATCAAAAATCATCAAACATCATCAAACATCATCAAAATCATCAAAAATCATCAAACATCATCAAAAATCATCAAACATCATCAAACATCATCAAAAATCATCAAAAATCATCAAAAAATCATCAAAAAATCATCAAAAAATCATCAAACATCATCAAAAATCATCAAACATCATCAAAAATCATCAAACATCATCAAACATCATCAAAAATCATCAAACATCATCAAAAATCATCAAACATCATCAAACATCATCAAAAATCATCAAAAATCAAACATCATCCAAAATCATCAAACATCATCAAAAATCATCAAAATTCATCAAACATCACCAAAAATCAAACATCATCCAAAATCATCAAACATCATCAAAAATCATCAAAAATCATCAAAAATCATCAAAAATCATCCAAAATCATCCAAAATCATCAAACATCATCCAAAATCATCAAAAATCATCCAAAATCATCCAAAATCATCCAAAATCATCAAAAATCATCAAAAATCATCAAAAATCATCAAAAATCATCAAACATCATCAAAAATCATCCAAAATCATCAAAAATCATCAAAAATCATCAAACATCATCAAACATCATCAAACATCATCCAAAATCATCCAAAATCATCAAAAATCATCAAAAATCATCAAAAATCATCAAAAATCATCAAAAATCATCAAACATCATCAAACATCATCCAAAATCATCAAACATCATCCAAAATCATCAAAAATCATCAAACATCATCAAACATCATCCAAAATCATCAAACATCATCCAAAATCATCAAAAATCATCAAACATCATCAAACATCATCAAACATCATCAAAAATCATCAAACATCATCAAAAATCATCAAAAATCATCAAAAATCATCAAACATCATCCAAAATCATCCAAAATCATCAAAAATCATCAAAAATCATCAAAAATCATCTATACATTAATCTCTATAATCTCCGAAAACTCCCATTGATCCGAGGTCTGGACATTGAACACCGTCTGCAGGAACTTGGACCAGCGAACATGAGCGGCACCCACCAGGCATTGCACTGGGCCAGCCTCAACAACCGGGGATTTGTTGAAGAACTGGCATCAAACGTGGTTTATCATGGTTAACAATGGTTGATAACTGACAATATAACAGATAATATCTGTGATTATCATTGATCTTCTATGATTATCTATGATTACCTATGACGATTTGGAAGGTTGATCAAGATCCATTTTAATGGAAGATTCCCAAGTCACCCTGTTGGGTTTCAATCTGTTTCAACTGGCCATGAATCATGGCCAGTTTCATCCATGACGACTGATTCTGGCCTGGCCTGATAGAGGATGCTGCCCAGGATTGCCATGCCTGTGAGCTGACTGGGATGCTTGGGAGGCCCTGAAAAATGACTCCTTTGGTACAGGAAGCTAGGGACATTCATACAAAAATGTATAAATGCTGGTGAAAAATGGAGGTTTATAGCTGGGAAAATCATCGAACTAAATGGGAAAATCATCAAAAACTGCTTGGTGGTTTTTCGCCACCCCTCTGAAAAATGATGGAGTATGATGGAGTGAAAGTCAGTTGGGATGATGAAATTCCCAACTGAATGGAACAAATTAAAACAAAAAACAAACCTATGAAAGTCAGTTGGGATGATTTTTCCATATTATTCCCAACTGAATGGACAAATAGTAAAAACAACAAAACACCAACCAGAATATATCCTCTTTCTGCTCAATGGAAGAGGGGAGCTCAGCACCAAACCCTTCACCAGTCGCATGCATGTGCATAGAGACAGAATGAGACGGCGATTTCATACGGATCGGAATGAGTTGTGTGTGGAAGTACAATAGTCACCATAGTCATCATACTCATCATACTCATCATATTGTGGGAAAAACAATCATAAACCAACCTAATTTGGGAATGCTTCAAAAAAATACCATAAAAACATGGTGATAACTATGATAACTATGATAACTGGGGCTTATTCTTATTCGTGTTTTAGCCACATGACTTTCCAAAACCATCAGCTGTTGGGCCTTGTGAGTTGCTGAGAGATCCAATTCCACTGGCTTTGGCTCGTTGCACGGTGCCCTTCTGCACTGCCATCCCCACTTCTGCCTGGCTGCAAGTTTCGTTACTGGGAAAGAATAGGTCTGGGTCAAAGTTGGGTGCCCAAAAAACCATATGATTTATATATGGATTTTGAATAGATTAAATATGATTTAAATAGTGAAAATCTATGAACATATGACATATGACTGAAATCGGTGTTTTTTTCTTGGTCTTTGAACATAAAACCCATGCCCCATGTTTCAAGGCGCAGCCCGGTGATTCATCATGGATTCACTGAGGGTTGAACCCATGGACCCCACTGCACTGAGACTGTTGGTCCTGGGTTTGCAGCAAGAAATTCTGGGGAGCCGAGTGAGTTTTTGCGTCCCTTTGGTTACTTTGGTTCCAACATCTTTCTGCCAGTTTCAAGTGACATTCCGAACTTGACGACCTCTGTTGCACGATTCCAAGGTTCGGACGTCCTTTTGCAGACCAGTAGGGTGCAAACGCATCCAAGTTGGCATTTGCCGCGGCATAATTGCCTTGTCCTGGACATTTTCTGTGAAGCTTCAAAACTACCCTCTGGCTATTTAAGATAGCCATGGACAATGGCCCATTTATAGATTGTTTACCTATTAATAGCATGGTGATTGTCCATGGCTATGCAGATGGTACATGTTTTTCCTGATGTGGTTTTACCATGTTTTACCACAATGTCATGAACTATCCCGAACTTGGGTGGTTTTATGAAAAATTGGGCGTTTTTGACGAATCATGGCCCGCTGGGAAATCCACGAAGCTAAGTCAGGGTACCATTCTAAATCATCCATGTTTTATAGATGGATGTCCCATCATAAACCATCCATTTCCGAATATGGGTGTTTCCAAAGTCAAGGGGGTACCCCCAATGATCATCGATTCGGATTTTCCATGAAATCAACAGAAATCAACCATCCAGCGAGCTTGGGGTAGCCCCAAATCATCTAAATGTTAGGATTTTTATGGAATTTCCATGAAAAAAGCCATCAATTTTGAGGTACCCCCATGACAAAACGGAAACCTCATCATCCAATTTTTCAGGGATTTTCCATAAAAAAAAACACATCCAGCTATTGGGGGGTCACCCTTTTGATTGACATTTCAAAATGGGAAAACCGCAGCGGCCTGGCGCCCCAAACAACGACGAGGTGGAGGAGAAGAGCACGAACTGTGCTGAATCCTGGACTCCAGTGGAAAAAATGGTCCGGAAATGGGAAAAGATATGAGAAAATCATAGAAAATCATAGAAAATGGCATCCCGAAAAACCCCAACTTACCATATATGTGGTGCAAAGTTGGTGAACATCTGGCATAAAATTGAGGGATTTTAAATGATTTTAAGGTGCCAAATTCTGTGAGATGGCATCCAGAAAACTGAAGAAAACTCCAGCAGCCTCGAATTTCACATGCCGTAAGAGGTGTCGTAGTCCATGAACCTTTGGTGCATAGGACCTCAGAGGTCTGACTTGAGGCGAAAGCTGAGACAAAAGTTGCACCATGATCCATGATGATCCATCAGAAGCATCAGTCCAAACATTGAAACATCATCTGCATGAGTGTAGTTTCCATGATGGATATGTAGTTTCAATAAACATCAATCATAGTTTCCATGAACCCTTAAAATCGAAACTACATCATCTGCATCCATGACGAGTATATGAATCCGAAGACCAAGCATTTTCTACACAGACATCCAGCACTTGGCGTTTGGGCACGCAGCAACGGCAAACCCAAGGTCAACAGGACAACAGAACGAATCTCAACGCTTTCTTCCCCGAGAAATGCCAGCAAAATCCTTTATCTTGATCTATCCTGACATCCCGTGGGTGATATTCCGATTTGAATGGACATTTCCCATATTTTCCATGGCGATGATTGTTGCAGGGCCCATAAAACATCGTAAAACCTCCGCCATATCTGCATATTCCAAGAGATCATACAATCATAGAGGGTACGTCTATTCAAACCTATGCAAACCAGATTGGTGGTTTCCAACATCAGGGCTATCATGGCTCCAAAACACAAACCAAACTCTGAACATGTTGCAGAAACGATGTTTTGAACACTTCAGTTTCAGTGCTCAAATGGCCTGAATATGTTGCTGAAAATTCAGTGCATCGTCCAATAAATCTACATCTTCAGGTGTAAATTACACCTCATTCAATGGATTGGTTTAAGGGAAAATTTACAGGTTCTTTTAAGCCCCAAATCTAATGGGAAAATCTATGGTTTCCGGTTAAGATTTTCCCTTAAACCAATCCATTGATTCATTGATCCCCTGGTTTCAATTCCCTCTGAAAAATATGAGTCAATTGGGATGATTCCCAACTGAATGGGAAAATCATCCATGTTCCAAGCCACCAAGCAATGGTCATAGAAATAGTTGAGATTTACCCATTTCTAGAAAGCATGGTGATTTAAGCCATCGTTTTTTGGGACTGTTTACCAGAGGGAATCAATGAGGGAAATCATCCCAATGTTTCACCAACTCCCAATGTTTCAGGGTGAAATCGCTAAGTCCTCTGGGGCCATGGCTTCAAAAACATCTCCCGGTCCAACGCTGGTAGCATGCCATCGGCCAACGCTCCAGCGAGATGAAGCAAAGAGACGCAAAGACCTGCCAGAAAGCTTGGAAGTCGGATGTAAACCTACCATTTGTGGATGGTTTATAGTTTATACAATTGACAAAATGGGTATAAAATCCATGAATGAATGGGTATAAATTTGTCTATGTAATACTTTGTACCATCCATTGATGAAAATTACTTTTTTTTATTAAACATATAGACTACTAGGAATGTCGATTGTCTATCATGATTAGAAAAAATGAGAAATGACTGAGTTCCAATATGTTCCAATGCTACCATAGGTCTTCTATAGCACTTAACATTTACTCTGAACATGGAAAAAGCGGCTTTATGGCTTTGAGCTCAGTTAAAATCTTGGATTGAGGCAGCGCCCAGCGGAGGCCTTTTGCAAAATCTTTGGCAAAGGCCTTCACAGCAGCTTCCTCTGAAACATCACCGCGCTTCACCGTCACTTCGATTGCACTAGCCTGGGGGCTGAGGCCGACCATGAATAATGTACCGTGTGTTGATTTTTTTTTGCTGAGCATCATATGATGTTGATCATGTGTGATATAATATATATATTAGGTTGGGCATTGCGGCCTGTGACTGTTCGGGGGTCCCTGGACATCGAAAACGAAGAAACCTATTAAAAACGATGGTTTCTTGGAAATCAACGAAACACAAAAACTAGCAAAAAAGTGTGGTTTCTTTAAAATCAATGAAACGCGAAAACTGCAAAAAAACGATATTTTTAGCTATTTTACAAAAATTTGAAAATTGACGGTCTATAATCTAATCATCTTAAAGATCCCACTTCGCACATGAGTCACCTTTTCACCAGACATTTTCGAAAGTTCAAAGTGCAAAGCACTCCGGCCACAACATGTGAATTGAATGGAACGGAATGCAGTGCAGCATTCGGAACGCAATGGGCAACGCAATGCAATTTTGATTTGGCACTGCACAAGGATAGCCAGAATCGAGAAAACATCAAACAAATATGGTTTTGTAAAATTGGTGAAAAATGATGGTTTCGTCAAAATCAATGAAACGTTAAATGCTGAAAAGCAAAGGATTTTGCAAAATAACGAAAATGTCAATTCTGCTATAGCCAATAATATATCCTCAATTCTGCTCTTGGTCTTGTCCGCATCCACTGTTCTTTTTGGCATAGGTAAAGACTCCCACCACGTTTTCTTCCAAAAAAGGTTGAGCCAGGGCAACATGGAACAACCGAGTAGTTCTTATCATTTTTGTTTGGTTTTCATGATCTTGTACAACATAAAGAATGTGTTTTTAATCTTCTCAACAATCAACTGAATAGAGTTGATCATCTTTGATTCTTGGAAAATGTTCTTCGAATCTGTCAGTGGACAAACCACCAAACTCCATACCCCACAAGAATTGGTTGGCACCTGAAATTGTAGAAAGAGGCTAGGGGAAATAGATGACTTGGGTCGAAATGTGGGATGCCACAGTCATTTCTTGAATTTTCCTGGCCATAGCGTATTTATATACGGGAAGCGCCGGAAGCGCCAGTTAAAATTTGGTATCCAGCAGGTGGGGAGACTTTAGCATGCCAGAAAACAAATTGGTTGTTGTCGCTTGTTCAAGTTTTCTTTCATGGACATGTTGAAATATGACATGTATTCACGATCACCCATCTAAAAAATTACATCAAGTAGGATTTTTTGAATGAGTTCATTTGGTTCACAGGTCTTAATGGGTCATGCGTAGTTGGTGGGCTGTAGGGATTGGTCTCTGCCGGTGGGGCGCAGTAGTAGATAGAACTCATCAAGTGATGAAAGCCTTATGTTTCACGGATCATGCACGGTGTACACATTGGGACTATTGAAAAATACATCTCGGGAGTTTGGCCAATATCTCGATATAGGATCGAAAGTTCCAGAACTGTTTCCAGGAAACTGACAAAAAAAATCAAGTGCCCTCACGACAGAAAGAAAACAAAACAGTTCATAGTTTTAGGGGCAATGGAGCACAAGATGCAAACCTTTGGCAGCCGGAAGTACATGAAAAAACGTTTAGGTGTGCAAACATGTCTCCAAACACAACATGTGAATACGCTTGATAACAAAAGTGGCAACTGCAAAACATCTTGGAACGGAGCCAAAAGATTTATCGATGTGCTAAAAGGCAATCCTGGAATGGAGCCGTAACAGTTCATTTTTGATATATGCAAATCATCTTGGGGCATCTTACCGAAAAATTGCGAGGCACAAAAAGAGCAGCTATTGGGAGCACCTGGGCTTAAGCCCATGATGCAAGACGCACGCTTGCGCACTGTGTGCCGTTGTACGCTTTGACCACATAACTGTTTGTCAAAATCGCCTTTTGTTCTTCAACATCTTCTATGGCAGTGGGTAGCTCTGTTGGGCCGTACCAAACATGCCATAAGCACATGTTTGTCCACCGCGATTTTATAATTTTCCTCAATGGCATTACGTGGCGTTATCTCCCGTTGCCAGGACTGCTGTAAAACGGCATATTCCGCGTGTTCGTCAAATACAAGGTGGTCTTGCAAATCTTTTGCGACACTATGTGGGGCTACTTGAAATGCAGCAAATTACCTGGTTCACTTTATGTAGTTTTGTTTTATTAAAATCATTTGTGACAGACCAGAAACGCTTAAAACATGCATTTTTTGCCTTATTGTGAGAGTTTGGTTCCGGAAAAACCTCTGTAAGGCTTTGTGACGCAATGAGAAACGCTGCAAGGCAATGTTGTGGGATTTTGCTGGTTTTCTACCCTGGGCCATTTTGAGGCGAAATCGAAAACAGTGAAAGATGCGCGTCTTCAGACCCTCAATTTTCAAAATTAGTAGTTTTTCAAAATCGGCTGTGGGCACTATGGGCGCTATACCAGAACGCTAAAAAAAATGAAATTTGCAACATTCGCAGTTTTTCAAAATTGGCTGTGGGCACTATGGGCGCTATGGGCGCTATGCCAAAAGGTTGAAAATAACTGAAATTTGCAAAATTTGCAATTTTTGAAAATTGGTTGTGGGCACTATGGGCGCTATGGGCGTTATGCCAAAAGGTTGAAAATAATTGAAATTTTCAAAATTTGCAATTTTTGAAAATTGGTTGTGGGCACTATGGGCGCTATGCCAAAAGGTTGAAAATAACTGAAATTTGCAAAATTCACAATTTTTGAAAATTGGTTGTGGGCACTATGGGCGCTATGGGCGCTATGCCAAAAGGTTGAAAAACTGAAATTTGCAAAATTTGCAATTTTTGAAAATTGGTTGTGGGCACTATGGGCGCTATGGGCGCTATGCCAAAAGGTTGAAAATAACTGAAATTTGCAAAATTTGCAATTTTTGAAAATTGGTTGTGGGCACTATGGGCGCTATGGGCGCTATGCCAAAAGGTTGAAAATAACTGAAATTTGCAAAATTTGCAATTTTTGAAAATTGGTTGTGGGCACTATGGGCGCTATGGGCGCTATGCCAAAAGGTTGAAAATAACTGAAATTTGCAAAATTTGCAATTTTTGAAAATTGGTTGTGGGCACTATGGGCGCTATGGGCGCTATGGCACCAAAAGGTTGAAAATAACTGAAATGTGCAAAATTTACAATTTTTGAAAATTGGTTGTGGGCACTATGGGCACTATGGGCGCTATGCCAAAAGGTTGAAAATAACTGAAATTTGCAAAATTCACAATTTTTCAAAATTGGCTGTGGGCACTATGGGCGCTATGGACTATGCTCAAAAGTTGTTCAAAACACTGAAATTTGCAAAAACCATGGTTTTTCAACCTGGCCGTAGGGACTATGAGCGCTATGGGCAGTATGCCAAACAAGGTGGAATTCGCAAAAACCGCAGTTTCAAAATCGGCTGTTGGCACTATGTGCGCTATGTGCACATGTAGATATTGATGCTCTTGACATTTTCGGCCTATTTACGGGAGAAGGTGTCCGTGGGAGAGCAGGGAAAGTGATAATCTGCATCTCCAAAGTTAGTCCTCTTCTCCTGCGAAGTTACTGCTGCATATTTTGATTGACCAATCGGCACCCACGACTCTACATGCGTTGTTGAAATAACTGCTGCAAACTTCGCTGCCTTTTTGTGTTTCGACTTGCCCACCAGATTGTTAATTTCTGCAAGCAAGTTTCCCAATTCGTGTGGATACAGCCAGATTTCCGCACAAAACAAATTCCGATGTTCTTGGCCTGTTGGTACCATAGTTTGGCGGGCTTGCAGGAAGTTGTGTTTTTCAGCTATATATTCTTCCATGTCTTTGGTTTACTGTTGTTGACGGGCGGCACTGCCGGGGGGAGGGAGGAATAGTACTGGCGCACTGGTGCGCTGATTAGGTGACGTTTCACTGGCTCTAAAGCCTGAGCACACTCAAAAAGATAGGTCCTTTCCTTTCCGGTGTTTCACAAAAGTGACAAAATAGGTCCGTTCTCGGTTTCGGTGCATCGCGCATCAACAGTCCAAGATATTCTAAGCCGATATTGAAAACATGTGAGTGGTTCGAATCATCCGATTTCCTTTCACAGCGGAACTTTGTCTTTTTCTAACTTTACTTTCTTGGTTTCAATAAGTATGTATATATAATATTATATATATAATTAAACTATACATATATAATATATATATATAGATAATTATATATATATATATGTATATCTCTACAGCCACGGCCGAACTGGCCATCCTCGGGTAAAAACTGCCAGAAAGTATGTTGGGGGTTCACCGCCGATGTCAAGAAGCAAAACTGTTAAACAAATCCGGGAAAAAAAGATTCCACCGCAACGCCACCACCAGAAATCCAGAATTGCGCCTCCTATAGCCACAATGGTTTGCAGATATGATTTCAAGACCGAAGAAAAAACATCCCCAATGTGCTCTTCCAGATGTTCAAATGGAGCTGGGGAGATGCTACTGGTTGAATTGGATGCTGCAGCTGAACAGGCAGCGACAAAAGATTTCTTGGCCAACGTCGTACATGCTTGATTGTTTTTGACATGTTTCATCCACTTTTGAATTCCGCATGTTCTTGAGGGCGCTTGCCAATTCTTTTGAAAAAACGTGGTTGCAAAATGTCTCTGACTTTCGCCTGTCTGGTATTTGCTTATAGTTTCCTATTTGCGACGGCGAATTGCTCCTTTCTCTTCTTCGGCAAAAACAACAAAACCATCAGTTTTTCATACTTTTTCTGGGTGTGTTAGGTTCAGCGACTGTGCTTAAAACAATTTGTTTTTGCAGGTTTTGCTCCTTTCTCTTTCTCGTTTTGCCGTGGGATTGCTTCGTTTTGGGATGTGCCCACAAATTTGACAAAAACAAACTACTAATTTGTTTCATGCTTCCACACCTTGTGTTTGTGTGTGGATGTTTGCGCGGCCGACGCCGCCCAAAGTGCTCTGAGAAGGGGGTGACCGTTCGGTAGCCATAGGTGATGTACCTACGCCTTCCAGGTGTTGCTTTGCTGTTGATTTTCCTCGAAAACATATATTTTAGTCGTTGCTGGCAAAAAACAACACTGTCTTCAAAATACGTTCTTGCCAAATCTTGCAAGGTTGGATCAATTCATCATCACAAGTTTGCACATGCTGTGTTCTTCCTATGGGTGTGTTGACACTGGTGTGTTGGTCAAACACTGGAGTTTGATAAGTTTGATAGGTGATAGATGATCTGATAAATTGTTTTGTTTCAGTGTATACTTGCCGTCTGTGGCCACTGAACGGAAGGCATCCCCCACCTCTGGAAACTGTTCGCAGCGTCGGCCGTGTGTTTGGATAAGAATTTGATGGTTTTTCACGTTTTCACTAAAATCACAAAAAACATTGGTTTTTAATGGTTTCGTGATTTTACTGAAAACGCAAAAACCATCAAAAATCAAGGTTTCATCGTTTTCAGTGAAACACGAAAACCCTTGTTTTTTAATGGTTTTTAGATCTCGCCTTGATTTTGATCATCCTTATAGAACGGGTCCTCACAGGCCTACAATGTCCATCATAATATATATATAATATCATAAGATGATGGTTTTATAATATAAGATGATATAGGTTTACAATGACCCATCATTGTTTTGGTGATTTTGGTGACCCAACTTTCTACCAAAACAGATACCTTCAGATCCAGCCTGCAGCCACTCCCAACGTCCTTGCACCTGGCGCAGGTGCCATGACTCGCGACTGGCCGTGACCGTCGCCGTGGCGTGGCACATGGCGTGCCGGGCCTCTGCTGGAGCTTTACCTCCTCTGGACAGAAGACAGATGGATTTGGCGCCCTCTTCAGCCAAGAATTGCGCCGTGACCTGAAATCTGAAAAATTGAGCCACGATTCAATGGCAAATGGGAGAAAGATGAGAACAAAGAGTCCGAGTCTATTAGAGCATAGACATAGATTCAATGGATGATTGTGATTGTGAACATCTCTGAAAGTCACTATGATACAGTGATACATCTAAATATATCCAGAAATATCATTGACATATCTAGAAAATATCACTGAAACATCTGGAAAATCTCCAGTACTGTGGGTCAACAGGAAACGTTCCAAACAGTTTTCCCTTCAGTTCCCCTCCGTAGGCAGCCGGCAATGCCCAAAGCACCAGTGCCACCACTGAGGATATGCATCCCTGGCACCCTCCACATCTTGCTGGGCCTCGGTACTTTCCCATGTTGATATGTCTCAATATGTATCCCGTTCTGGCTTGGTTGGCTTTGTATAAACAATACTTATCAGATACATAAGTCAACCATCAATAAATAATGGCATGGTCATTATTGGCTAGTTTTATTGGTGTTTTTGCTGGTGTATTATTATAAGTCTTTATGCCATAAATGCTTGGATTTAATCACCAAATAAAGCAGCTATGCCTCAAAACCCACCACCATAGCCAGCTCGACTGCGAGCGCGACTGCGAGATGACCACCTTGCCGATGTTCTGCGCTCGTTGCAGGAATTGCAGTGCATGTACGCCTGCCAAGATCTGACAGAAAAAACCACCCCAAAAGTCACCGGGTTTCTGGACCATTTGACCATGTGTTTGTCCAAAACGACATGGTTGGCTCAAAAAAGTTGTACTTTTTTGACCATCCAAAAAGTGCCCTTGAAGCAACTGCTTGATTTTGTTCAGACCATTTGTTTTCGATGAGGCATGGGGTTGCTTCAAAATCTTCAAACAAGTTGTAGCAATAACATCCAATCACCATCCCCCGACAATTAGAGGTAAATCATCAGCCATAGCCGCCATAGCCACCATCCCAGCCATGTAGCGAGCCTTCCTCCAGGCCTTCAAAGACGTGCATGTTGATAGGGCTCAAACTAGCAGCTTCCACTCGAGTGAGGAGTCTCTTCAGGTAGGCGTTGTACCTCTTACCATTTGGAAAAAATGGGTATGGGTCAATAGCTATAGATACATTTTTAGTGGGATATAGTGGGATGAATCATCCATTTTAACCCAGCTATTTTTTGGGGTTCACGGCACGGTACCAGGGTGCCATGACCCATCCCCAAATGGGTGAAGTCGATGGTAAACTATTGGTAAATTCCTGTTTGAAGATGGTTTTCAATACCCCTGGTAAAATTATAGGTACCCTCTGGTTATGACTAACAGTTCGCCATGGAAAGATCCACCATGCTATATAGCTAGGTAAACCTCTATAAATGGGTCATCTATACCATGGCTATGTTAGTCATAACCAGAGGGTATATATAGTCATGGTCGACTCTTTGGCTCACAATCTTGTAAACTCAGCAATGAAAACTCGGAATGAAGGATGATGAATGCCATGAAATGGCCCTGCCACAAATCATCAGAATGCCATGAAAATCCTCACGCCTCCAAGACTCCTTTTCCATCATAGTGTCCGCTGCGATTTTTTCATACATGATATCTGGGCGTGCTTCCCACATCTGCCTCAGTTTGAAAGCAAGAATTTGTCATCAGTTTGTCTCATGGGAAAACAACATATGCTATAGGAAAGTTTGCAGTAATTATTATATAATGTTCATTCATGTTCCCCTTCAAAATTGCCATAGATGGCGGTAACTATGATTAAGCCATTTTGGGGCCAAACCCTTGTCTCCGTTCACACTCTTAAAACACAGAGTCCACCCATGTCATTGATCGAATGCCAAAGGACTGGTGGCTCCAAATGCCTCTTTTGCCAATTTCGATGAAACGTCCGCCACTCTTCAAACAGGCAAGGGAGCGAGAGATGTAATCGTCATGGCTGAGACTGTTTAGAACCACATCCACTCCTTCAGCAGCCTCTTTCTCCAGGAAGATCTTCATGTCTGCTTCGAACTTGTTTCCACTTCGACTGCTTGTAATGTACTTCACTCCCAAACTTCGCAAATAGGCATGTTTCTCCTGAACATAAAAAACAAGATACAGAAAAGTCATCACCAAAGTCATGCTGTGAGTTTCTGCTGTCCGTGTCATGTTTGGTGTCCTCTGCTCCCGCCGTGGCAAAAACCTCTGCCCCCACATACTTGGCGTACTGGATCGCCACCAGACCCACTCCACCAGCAGCGGCATGAATCAAGACCTGAACCGGCAACGAGAGATTTGCATCTCAAAATCTGCAGCAAAATATCTCTGAACAGATTTAAAAAAATCACCAACGTCTTTGGAAATTAGATCATCTTTAAATGATGTTAGATGATCAATTATTAATTACAACCAACATATTATACAGATTAATTATGCCCATCCTTGGATGAACAAAATGACCATATCTTACGCATCCAGTCACTGGATGCCTCTGTCTGTCTGGTGCGAACCTCCCATTCGATGGGGGGGTTCTTGAAAAATGTCCAACTCCCCAAGTCACCATGGGTAACCATGATGTTTCAATACAAATTCATACAGTCATCCATGACCACTAGATGATTTGGGGGTAACCCAAATGGTAAACATAACGATGGAACATCACCATTCTTAATAGCTAAATCATCTATCCATGGTGATTAGTTGTAGTTGTTATATAGTTATATAGTTATATGTTGACCATTTGGGGTACCCTCTGGTAAACTGTCCCATAACTATGGAAAATCACCATTTTTAATGGGTAAATCAACTATTTCGACTGGGCCATTTTCAATAGCTATGTTTGTTGACCATCTGGGGTACCCCCAGCCATTCGGAAGCTCCCAACATCTGAGGACAAACTAAGGTCACGACTCGCTCCCCACGCTTCAGTTGTGCGAGATCCCCTAAGGCTTCCTCGACCGTGACGAAGATCACAGGCATCGTGCAGGCCTGGCAAGATCTGGCAAGTGGGAATGCTCTACCATTTGGTTATGACTAACAGTTCGCCATGGAAAATCACCATGCTATTAATAGGTAAACCATCTATTTCTATGGACCATCGAAAAACCATGGCTATGGCGAACTGTTAGTCATAACCAGAGGCTATATCCAAATATCATATAGAACATCGTAGAACCCAAATATCTGAAACAAATATCAAATTCATGGAACCATATATGATATAGAATTATCAACCCAAATCCATCCAAATCCAAGAAAACACTGGAATGTTCGGGCAAACAAAAATCCAACAAATTGACATTGAAGATATTGAAGCTCCTGGAGAAACCCATCATTTTGCTGCTGTGTACCTCTTCGAAGGACCACGTTGGAGGTTTCTGCGTCAAAAGGGACCTGGGCGATGAGTCCCTGATCAACAAAAACTGACTCGTGATTGATTTCAAACCAGTTCAAGTATTTAAATGCAAATCATTAATATCGATCTTCCATATATTATAGGTCCTAGGTATTAATAATATGAATATAATATAGATCTTCCATATAATATAGGTATTAATAATATTGATATAGATCTTCCAATTTATAAAAATACATATTTTCCACAGGTGAAGCATCGGTTTTCCATAGATTTTCTATACACTAACCATAGGAAATACCTGGGAACCCCTAGCGATGGAGCCAGGCTGTAGGTACTCAAACATCCAGGAGCTTCTCCGAAAACGTCCTCTCCTGTCCTGCGAAAATGGATGAAGTTCGCAAGAAAATTTTGATGATATGGGTATGGGTCAATACCTATAGATACATTTTTAGTGGGTTATTCACATCCATTTTAACCCAGCTATTTTATGGGGTTCACGGCACGGTACCAGGGTGCCATGACCCATCCCCATATGATTCAAGACACATGGCAGAAATAGATAGATGAGCTTCAATAGATCTTGAAATAGATAGTTGACATATGGCAGAAATCCTGATATATCATGATAAATATCAATAGATATCAATAGTAAACACCTGTGATTCACTATAAATATATCTAGAGAGATATTCTACCTGAGTCTTTCCCATGTTTCTCCGGATCTCACTTCAGAAATCCACTAACCACTGGCAGTCCTCAAGTGTCTCACACGTTCACCCAACTCCAAGATGGTGCCAGAGCAGTCTGCTCCGGGAGGACCGGGGTCTCCAGGGTACAAGCCCATCACCTGGCGGAAAACCCATGGGAAAAGTATGGAAAATCCATGGGGGTAAGTCCTCTGAGAAATCAATGGATTGATTCAGATTCAATGGCATCATGAAATTTTGGGAAAAAAAATCTCATGAAATCAACTAATCAGCCATCCCAAAATTCTGGAAAATGGGACCATTGGGGAGTTTTTACCATGAAATCTGGGGTATTCCTGGATGTTGAATCAGCATCCAAGATTGGGATGGTTGGCCGCAAAATACCAATGGCAGGACAGGCAAACGTTCAGGACATCTCGGAAGTTCAAACCTCAACAGACACACGGAAAGCTCTATGGGAAACTCCATAAAAACCAGGTGTGACATTCCTATCCTCACCTCTGTACAGTATCAATCTTACTCACCAAAGCCTATCAAATCTATCAATGCTCCTTTTGGATCTTCTGCTCCAAATGTATCATATGTTTTCCATAGTAAAAGGTCTCATCACCACGTCTGAGGGAGTGGCCAACTGCTCGAATTCGAAGTTGGACTGATCCCAAAACCACAGGTTGTCGCATGTTCTGTGGCACGGGTCTCAAGCCTGTCCTCAGCAAAGTGAAAGTGACAAAAAAGATTTCCACAGATCAAACGTGAAACGGTTTCCTTGGAATCCAAGTTTGAAGATACTCAGTTACTCTTAGAATCTGTATAGAATTTATAATATTTATATATATATATATTTATCTCCAATCTATAGAATCTATGTAGAATCTAAGTCTATATTAATCTATGGCTGTGTTCGACAGCCATCATCTGCCATAGAAATCCCACACCAACCCCGTTGAGGTCGCCACAGGGCTCCGCGAAACGGCATGTTCAACCGGATGGGCGCGCGAGCCGTCAGGCTACTGCGGGTCAGGCGGCTGCAAGACAACCTGTCCTGGTGGAAAAGCGATGTGACAATCCTGGGAAAATATGAGGCAAAAGCAGGAGATACCATACCATCTATGGGATAGAATGGGATATCACGATGTGTCATGATGTTTCTATCACATTTGAATCTAGCCGTTCAATAGCATTTTATAGCTACATTTACCATGTTTTGGTGATTTAGCCATCGGTAGGGGGTGTATCTGCCATATGTGGTAATATGGTACTGTATTCTTTCATATATACTCTCTTAAACTAACATAGCTATGGAAAATCCCCACTTTTCATGGACAAATCGACTGTAAATGGCCATTTTCAATAGCTATGTTGAATTACCGGAGGGTATCCAAGATCGCATGTTGGTCAATATTAGCGACTCAGCATTTCACCGAAAGGCTGAAGCCGGCCTCGCCAATCCTTTGGAAAGAAAGCTCCTGCCAGAAGACATGAAACACATGTTCCAGGCCTGAGCACATCAATAGAATTAATATATGTTATATAGTGTTATATATTGATATCTGACAAAGAGTTAAATGTGTGTGACATGTCTAGAAGTGTATCTGCCAATCTTCCATGACTTTTCCATAGGGAAGAAGCTGAAGCTGGAGATTCACAGAGGATTCAAAAACGTTTCATCACCATTTGAGCTATGGTCAATACTCATGGTTAATAACCATTAATAGGGGCTAGTCATCCAATGGTTCCACTCGGGATTTATAATAACCATTATTTTTGGATCCTTATTATGGATGGGATGACCATCAACCATATAGATCCATATAGTGAGTATTGACCATGGCTCATTTCTCTCCTCTTCTTGGTGCGTATCCAATGCTGCAAGCCCAGCTTCAACAGCTTGGGCGACATCGGTTGCTTCATCGGCATCGAGGCAAGTGATCTTCAGATTTGAGTCCTTCAAAAGTCCATGGCACGGCTGGGAAAAACATCCGAAATGTAATCCAAATCCGGAATCCATTTCCCATTTTCCGGATCCGGCTGGTGCTGGTAGATTAATGCAAGCTAACATTGGTTGGGGGTATAATGGGGTATATTGATGGGATCCATGGAGCACCATTTTTCTAGCAGCACCATGGATCCGTCATGGGTTTGGAGGCTGTCCATGTCTGCAAGTCTCACAGATTGAGCAATCAGCAGTGGCTACACATAACCGCTGTCCTCCAAACGCACGGTCCTTGCGAAGCCCCAAAGACCCTTATGGACGGGCTCGATTGGCTTCGACTTGTTCTCGCGATGTGTCACCAACAGGATCTGTGGTGAGGATGCACCACGGGCCACTCGAGTAGCAGCACCTGAACAACCCACAGACCGCTAATTTTGACAACCGGAGATGCCAAAATGATCAAAATGGACAGAAGATGAACACAATACAACAGTCATCTTGAAACTATACCTACAGTATGTGGTTTTCATTCGTTTTCTGTCCGTTTAGTCAAATCTTCGGATAATCAAATCTTGGGAAGCAAGGCGCGGCAAAGGTGAAGCGCCAGAACGAGAACGTCCACATCTTCGCTGTGCGCTCTGCTGGTGGTTTTCTCATCTTGAAACAATCCACCCACGAAAACCGCCACTGGAAATTTCTGTAGAATTGCTTCCAAAGCCTTGGAGTTTTCAAGTGACGGGAACATCAGGACCTCATAAAATAGCTGTCTAGCTGGACCTTTGTCAATTTGTCACCTTGGAAGTCTTGAAAACATCAATGATTTACAATCCCAAAAAGATCTCAGTGCCACAGCACAGAATTATTCATTGCTCACTCGAAAGTTACTGAGAAGCTGACGGATTCATTGCTGTAGTCCACACATTGCTTGGAAGTTCCATGTGCTACGCAATGACAGCCAGCTTCTTTCAATCCCGAGGTCCTGACATATGGGGAACGTTCCTCCAAATCATCTTTCTTCCAAGAAAGAGATGTTTGAATTCCCATAGCCTCTGGATGCCTCTGGTGACCTAACACTTTAACATATGGAAAATCACCATTTTCAGATCGTGAGCGATATCCATGGTCCATGGAATTTCCATGGCTGGCATCGAGACATGTTGTCCTGATATCATCAGCTCTGCCAAGGACCAACCAGCCATCTTTGGATGTGGATGTTGGAACCTCAAAGCATTGAAAAAATGGCCACGTAATGATCAATGGTCATTCCAGGATCCTAAAATGGAGGTACGTTAGTACCATATTTCTGGCCATATTTTCTGGGGATATCCCCTGAAATTAAGGCCTTACATAGACCTTATATATGGTAGGTACCTCCAATTTAGGAACCTGAAATGGCCACGTAATGATGGTAATGTTCATCTTCAACATTCTTCAACTGATCATGATGAAATTGATGATCGAAAAATATTGATGATGGATGATGGATGTGGATTCTTGATGATCTTGATGATCTTGATGTGATTTTCGTTCTTGATGGTTTTCCTATCATGTCAATCATGTCAATCATATCAATAATCTTAATCATTATTGATTGTTGTTATGAATAATACATATCATGTTCATATGATATGATAATTCTAATATATTCTAATATCATCATTGATCAGTAGGCTGATTCTTATCAATTCAATTGCATATCATTCATCCATCTGGGTAAATTATAATATTTCACTAACCTGAATTAAGGCCGTTGTCCTTCCAAAGAGAGAGCCCGTCCCCAGCAGAAGCGAAGGACGAACTCTTTTGTCACATGACGTGTCCACTCGTTTGAGTGGCGTAACCCTAACTGCGTGCACATTCCCGCTTCGCAGGATCATTCTTTTTCCATGCCCTTCGATGTTCTTTCAGCTGCTTGCAAATGTGTAGCCAGTCATAGTCACTCAAATCTCGGTTTCTACGCTGACACCAAGTTGGAGTGAAAGGAATCCCATAGTTTGATTTTCCATGCAGTAAACCATGAAGAAACTGTAAAACTTCCTTTTGATGAGAGAATCTCGGTCTGGGTGAAGCTCCCGATGTGGATTGGCCAAAACCTTGTGCGTACAAGCTGGAGTTGAGTCCTTTTTTGCAATCTGGTGTTGCGTTGATTGGCATCCAACCCCAAAATTGTGCTACCATTTTTTGCATTGTGGCTGCTTGGTCTGCCAATGTGACTGCATGATGCTCACAGTCCTGTGCGTCTTCGATCATGAGAAGACGTACCTGTCCTGCATGATTTTCTCTAAGCACCGGCAAAGCACGTTGAACGTGCATAGAAAAACTAATGGCAAGTTCAAGCCACGAAACTCCTACTTCCGTCTTCAAAGGTCCCTGAGGTTCTGTTGGCCACTCAAGCGTCTGTATCCACTGAAACATCTGCAAAGCAAGCGCATCCCCCCAAGAAAAATAGTGACACCAATCATCTATTGAATCAGGAAAAACCAGGTCTTGTTTCATGTTGGGCTGCCACTTTATAAGAAGTGGAAGTGCTGGCGTTCCATGTGACTGATCATGTACGTGCAGCTGTGTATTTTCTTGTCTCGTCATTTGTTTATCAGCAACCACACGCGCCTCAGCTAATGCCAAGTGCAAGGAGAAGACTTGTTTGAGCGTTTTTCTTTCAATCTCAAGTTGCTTGTGCATTTGCATCAACTGGTCAACCCAAGCTTCATGCATGTGTCTGCAGGTGTGCCCTGCGGTTTCATCAGCTATTGCATTACCCAACGCATGATAAAGGTCCAAAGTGTCCATGATGGTAGCAAGGTTCCTGTGCGCCTTGATTTTAACCACACGGTTTGATTCCAGTTCAGTGCTTTTAAGGAGCTGCAAAAGGTCATTATTGGAATCACCACGCTGATGAGTGGAGACATCACCTACTGTCATGGACTGCCTAACTGCATATTGGCTGTCTGTGTGAATTGTGCCAAAGGGTATTCTAGCAGCACATATCAACGCAGAGAGTTCCCCCCTGCTGATGGTTTGTTCACCTTGCACTCTTCCTGCAAAACATGTCTGCAGAGTGCTAGGCATATTGCCACTGATGAGGAATTGCATGGCCTGAAAGCGTCTTTGTTGGTCATTATGGCACAGGTCAATCACTCCCGCAAATGCTGCAACCCTTGTCGAGGGATGTGAAGGAAACATACAACTACCGTCCGTGTAGATGTGGAAAGGAATGTTGGCACGTTGCCTTTCCTTGGCGTAAGCCAAAAAGGCCTCACCTACTTCGGGCAGATTTTGTTGAAAATGTAAGGTTCTATGCAAGAGTGCTTCAGGGTGCACATGTACAACCGGAAATTCATCCATGGTCAAACCTTCAACCTGCATCTCATCAATGGCAGAATAATATGGCATACGGACCTCGGCAAAAGCTGCACATTCAATCAAGCGATGGCTACGACTGTCTGGTTGTTGGCAGTATTGGCACAAACCACTGGAGTTTTGTGTCCAATGTTGTTTTTGACTTTCCAATTGGTATGCACCGGCAATTTCACGAATCAAAAATCTGCGTTTTTCGTCAGGAAATGTTTTCAAAACTCCACAAGTGTCAACGCGTGAGATGTCAGGCATGTGGAACAGGCTGTACCTCTGTGAGAGCATGGTTAACAGCTGCTGCTGCCATGCAAGTATCAAGAAGTGTTTTACTCTTAGGAAACTATCCCTAACCAAATGCAGCTTAATGAACGTATCCACATGAATGTACCCGTTGCTGTCAATTTGCCAAGAAATCTTCGCAAGATACCTTTGTAAAGCTGCTGCAGGTCCTTTAACTGCCATCGTTCCCCTCTGAAATTGGGCCGCAGTTGTGAAAAAGGCTGTTTGCACTTGATGAGATTGAGTACGTAACCACTTGGATGCCGCTCGGAGAGCCTGTTCGGTTACGTAGTACGCAGGGTCAAGTATACATGGCTTAGTTAAAAGCAAGGCTAAGCAGGGTGTCATGCTGGGTGATTTTCCAAAGATTGCCTCTGCAGTGTGGCTACGAAACTTATTGAGCATGTTTTCTGCAACTGGGAAAATTTCGGCGCCATAGAAGGCAGTTGGAAAAATGCTTGCACGCACCAAGTGTTCTTTTGTGGAAAGATCATGTGGCATGGTCATCAACTTCTGCAATCTGGCCATAGCACGGTCATATCGTTCCTGTCTGTGCCCAACCTTGTGGATACCTGAGTACTGCAGTTCAAGTCCTAAGTCTCTAGCATTATGCAAGCGTGTGATGGGCGCATCTGGCAAGTGTTCCTGCAGGGATCGTTCTGCATCTCTGGCTGCAACTGTGCTTGTACTCCACATCCAGGTTTTGTTCCAGTCAATGGTCAGACCGCATTGATCTGTGACTTTAATTGTGGCTGCGGCTGCTGGTCCAACCTGTGAACTGTCATGTGAGAAAATAGACCAGTTATCTGCATATGCTCCTGTGGTGGCATGAGGCACATGTTGTTTCACCACTGCAACAAAAAGCAGCGCAACGCCCAACATGACCAAAACACTGTGAGAGTCGCCCTCAGCAAAACCGCAGGTTGCAGTATGTGGTCCGAAAGTCTCTCCTGCTATCTGCCAGTATCTTCCCAACTTTTGAACAGATTCAAACCATTGATGCACAACTTCTCTAGGGACTCCCAAGGCAATTAACAAACGCCTACCGGCTTGATGCCTGATACAATTGAAACACTTCATGATGTCAAGCGTAAGGCCCGCGGCATCAGTGCTTGTATATCTACATTGCTCAATCATGGCTTGAACTCCATACGCAGCATCAAAGGACCCTCTGGATGGTAGCATGCCAGTGATTTCCGGGGGAAACCAGGAGTGCCAAAACCGCAAAATTTGTGCACACCTCACGGAGGCTTGAAGTCGGTATATTTGGCTTAAGATGCAAATGGGTCTACTTTGATTAGCCCTAGGTACATGGTCAGTCTTGTTGAGGGGGCAAACGCGTGCTGCCATGAACCATTCAGGAAACTCATTTTCATAGTTTTGGCAAACTAAACGCAGGGCATGGATCACCTGCTCTGGCATCAGTTTAAGTTCCTGCGCTGATACTGCATCAAAACCTCGGGATGACTTAGCATTGAGCTTCCTGATTGCTTGCATCCAATCTTCGGTAGTGTCAGTGATCTCAAACCCTTCTGGCGGTGTGGGCAGTAAGTCAAGCAGTTGTTGGAAATCGTCCCAAGGTGCATCCGAAGTCATATCATGCTGGTTTTGCCATAAGGGCAACCAATATTGACACAATTGTTCTGCTACCCTATGGGGTTCGACGACATAGGTGGATTGTTTCACAATTGCGGTATTCTCTCTATTTTCAGGGAGGGTGTGGAATGTGACTTCGAAAAATTTCTCAGTCATGCATGTAATCCACCCCTGTTGATCATTCACAACTGCGGGGGACATGGTATCAAACAGCTCAGGGTTCTCACAAGTGCACTGTACTTTGTTTTCTGCGATGAACCACTGCAGGTCACATGCACATTCATGAGGAATTGCAATTTCTGTGATTGGTAGCGCTGGTTTTTCTTTGATCGCCTGGAAGGCTGCGGTTGAGCCATGAAAGCGCCTGTCACATGTTCTGGCAAACTGCAATTTCTTTTTGAGTAAGGCATGATCGTTGGCAACTGCAATGGTGACCTCATGCTGAACGATCTGAGAAAGGGCGAAAATCCAGTCACTTGTGGGTAGTGGCCATTGTACCCATCGGAATTCTGGCAAGGAAACAATCCACTTATGGAAGGGAATCCCAAAGCAAGTGCACGCAAGAATCTTATTCCACTCCTGATGAAGTCCAGGAATCGTTTGATCATTCTTTTGGCCCTGCTTGTCAAAATGAACAAGTCTTCGATGTAGTGACTGGATGCGTCTGACTTGCGTGATCTTTCTTTTGGTTGCCACTGTGAGGATTTCAAAATTCGGGCTAAATTCACCACTTCTGGCATTCTTGACAGGACTGAAAACCGGCATCTTTTTTGGGGTCCTAGGCATGCAACGCCCGCGATACTTCTTTTTCAGGTGTGTTGGGCCAGAGGAATTTTGGTGGTGCAAAGTCCGAACACCATGATCAACAATGGCTTCATGGTATTGCCCCCATTCCTCCAGAGAAGAGGGTTAGGGCAGCTGGTGGCCTAATTCCTGGTATGCCCGTCGCAAGTGATCCTTTTCCAAACCTAGCTCCACCCAGGTGGATGGCA